ACTTTGAGACATCTTGAAAACGTGATAAGGCGCTGTATCAAATGCAAGGATTAGTTTTATTATTGTATCACCAAGCACAATGGGTATCCTGCAGCACCAAAATGTTAGGTTGACAGTTTCCAATGACCATTTGTGATGTGTGAGCGGATGCAAGTGCAAATATAAGTTACTGCAGTAAAAGCACAACTCGGTCAATTGAATGGAAGTTTGTTTAAAAATTTTTATTTTATTCAGAATATGAGAGCCGTCTTTAAAGTGAAATTGCTATGATAGCTGTAATCTGGAAGGGGCAGCAGTGGGCTTAAGGCTAAAGATAAGTAGAAGGAGCAGAGATGCAAAACTAATTATTTTACTTGATGGCCCTAAGGTTAGGAAGAGTGTGTGGATCTTTAATGCAAATGGAGCTCCAATTATGTACTTGAGTGATGTTTTCCTGCATTATTTGATTGTCCTGGGTAGTAAATTCATTTTTTGGTAGTGTTTTTAGGTGATTTATGTATTGAAGGACCATTAAAAATTATTATGGGATTGGAAAAGTGTATGTCATAACTCCCAATCTTAACTATGTTTTTAACCTATGTACATAACTCTGACTGATGAGACCTCTATTCCCATCCAAGTTCGCCTCAGAGCAGAGGTTTTGTGAATCAGCGTGATATGCAGGACTTCCCTTGCAGAAATCTACTTATGTTGCGCATGCAGTTTCTGGTTGTTATGCCATGTTTCGCTCACAAAATATACATTCAGTTCACTTTACAGTATATTCTGTGAAGTGCTTTGGGCTGTCTCGAACATGTGATAAGTCGTTATATCAAATGCAAGGATTATTATTATGTTGAGTGCTTTTTCCAGCCCTAATCTCAGAGAGGGACTAATGTATCATGTATTTGTAAACGCTGTGTGAAATTTTAGGTCTGGGCTTTTTTCAGAATGGTTGCATTCATCTTGTCAGTCATATCGTCTGGTCAAATTGCTCTTTGACCCCAACATCAATAAATGGAATTGTACTTGAGATACAAGTGTCACTGTAGCAAACTTGTGAAATAGTTTTCGTAAATGGGAACTGGAAAAGTCAACTCATAGAAATGTTTATTCATCTCCAACGTTTTTTTTAAATCCTTTTTTCAAATGGTCTCCCTTCCCTCCTCCCCTTTTCTCTTGAATGCATTTGAGCTTTACTTTCTTTCAACTGAAGTACTGTTCCACATTTGCACTCAGACTCCATATCGCTTTGGCCGATTGGCCATTATTCATTCGTGAGTCACAACAAGTTTTTTCTAACCCTCCTTTGAATCAATATTCATGGAAAAGGCCATTCTACGATTTTACTCTGGAATATTTGGGTGTGCAGGGAGGAAGTCTGGTGTAAGGTAGTTTTGGGGATTGCTTAACCATAACATTGGTTTTTTTCAGTCCCGGTAACTATAGTGTGGTAGGTGTGTTGCTATTGATGCATATTTTATGAAAAAATAATTAAATGTTTTTCAGTTACATGATTTCAGCACAGTGCTTGAACATTGTCATTTTAGAGGTCTATTCAGTTCATAGGATACTTAAACGTTGAAGCTCTATACCACTCCAATACCAATTACATTGAATCAGCATACTTTTTTGGGTGGGAAATGTTCTTGTTTTGAGATGGTTTATAGTTTTCTGGCCTCAACTAGGGAGGGAAAAGGGAAAAGAGCACTAAATATATTCAGTTTATAAAAGAAGTAACTACTGTACCGTATCACAAAGGGTCAAAATCTCTTGAAAAAGAACTGTTTTATTCTAAATGGGTAAACCGGTTTAGCCAGCTTGTTCTTTTAATGCATACTGTACTTGGCAGTACCTATTGCAGTTTGACTTTTCCCGGAAAAGTAATAGTAGGTTTTACGGGAAGCCTTCTTTTCATTTACAGATAATAATTTTCAGAAACGTATTGCTTAACATGACAATTGTACTTGAAATCACTTTTTGGTTTTGTGATTCATTTGTGTTGGCTTTGTCTCTCTAACTAGAAATGTTACTTTTCAATTCAAAATGATCCTATCTTTTAACTTGTTTTTTATTGATAATAGTTTCCATTGTGCATCGTGTACAAGATATGAATTAGCGTGCTGTATAAGCCCTCACTTTTTCAGTGGCTCATTGTAGCCAAAACAGACTGAAAATTATTCATTACAAATATAGTAAGCTGAACACCAGTAAAAAAAATAGTAAGCTAAAGGCCAAAGGGACATATTTCAATGTTTGCTTTGTAATCAGAACAATAACCTCAGTCTTCTGAAGAGCTAGGTCGGAACATCAAAGTAGTCAAAATTTGCAAGTAGTCTACTATGAACTTGCTGGGCCAACCTCATGACAACGGCAGCTTCATAGATGAGACCATTTTGATGTTAAAGGACGGAACTGAAATACCATCATAATTGCCAGTATTACTGGAATATTCACCAAAAATGTAAGTAAGACATTGGTTTAACAACTGCTTCTAGTGTGGGAGCGAAAATAGATGGTGTAATGCCATGTTAAGTGTAATATATTAGGGTAAAATTTCTAAAAGCTTTCCTAATTTTTTTTATAATAGTTTAGGAACACCAGCAGGTATTGCCCCATTAAGTGGTTGGTCGCCCACAAAATATACAGTCAATTCACTTTACAGTATATTCTGTGAAGTGCTTTGAGACGTATTGAAGACGTGATAAGACATTATATCAAATAAAAGGATTTTTATTATTATTTGGTCAACTTAGGGTCACAAAGATTTTTACCCAGAAGCGAGAAATTTGTTAAAATTTATGCCCTACACTGGCTCTGTTTTTTTTAAAATACTGTAGTTTTTCGAGGTCTATTTGCTTAGAAAGGCCCAAATCCTCTCTGTTAGCTAATGTATTGACTTTTGGCTGCTTGATTGGTAAAGATTAATTGGCCTTCCTACATACTGTTGACATTCTAAGATTTCATGAAATGGCTCACTTACAGAACAAGAAGATTGACTTTAAAACAACTGCTGATCTAATAACTATCCAGAATTATATTTTGTTGGATTTTTCAGTTGAACATCTATCTTTTGACTTATCTTTATTGAATTTCTTGGAACGTGCTAGGGTTTAGTTAAACACTAACCGCTTTACGTTTCATTGAATTGTGGCTGTGTGTAAAAATGAAAGTTAAAAATGTTTTTTGGAAACATAATTGCAACTATCAGATGAAATTGTGATATGGGCTTCTTATCACACCACAGAAAATTCTGTCCTCACCCACGCATTCATCACATCAAGGCTCGATTACGGGAACTCCCTCCTCGTCGGCCTTCCCAACTCTTCCCTTCACAAGCTGCAGATCATCCCAAACTCAACAGCTCGTGTACTCTCACGCACCAGGCTCCGGGACCCCATTACTCCCACCCTCGCCCGACTCCACTGGCTCCCCACCCCCCAGGGGATCGAGTTCAAGATCCTCGTCCTCACCTTTAAGGCCATCTATGGCCTTGCCCCCTCCTAGCTCTCTGACTCCCTACCAACCTGCCCGCTCCTCCGTTCAGTGGGCTCCGGCCTGCTCCATGTCTCCCGCCTGATCCGCCCTACCATCGGTGGCCGAGCTTTCAGCCTCTCTGCCCCCACACTCTGGAACTCCATCCCACGATCCCTTCACCTCGCTTCCTCCCTTGCCTCCTTCAAGGACGGTCTCAAGACCCTTCTCTTCGACTGTGCCTTTGGTCTCCCTCCCACCTCTCTGCTTTCCCTCACCCCTACACCACCCCTCCCCCATGCTCGGGTCCCGACACCTGACTGTTCAGCTCTTTGGGACGTCTTCCCAACATGAAAGGCGCTCTATAAATGTAATTTGTTGTTGTATGAAATGCATTGCCCCAAAAGGGTGCAGACGTAGAATTGATTGTGCTATTTAAAACATAGAAGAAGCCAGATATTTGTCATTGGTCATGGCTATTTGTGCAACCTTGATGTGTGCAAAATTGACTTCTGTGTTTGTGACAAACAAAAAACATTGTGACAATAGCAGTAATTGCTGTAAAACATTTTGTTAAAACGTTTCAAAGTATTTCAAAGTTCCATAAATTGTAATGACGGTGTATTTGTAGAAAGCAGTAAACAAACAAAGTTGTGTTGATGTGAATGGTGCTACATAAGTGCAAGTCCTCGGTTACTGAAGGAAGCAAGGATGGAAATAGCGGGGGCTCTGGCCACAATCTTTCAATCCTCTTTAGACACTGGAGTGGTGCCAGAGGACTGGAAGTTTGCAAATGTTACTCCCCCGTACAAAAAGGGGCAGAAGGGTAGCCCTGAGAACTACAGGCCAATCAGCCTAACATCAGTAGCAGGAGAACTTCAGGAGACTATAATCCGGGACAATATAAATTCTCACTTAGAAAAATATGGTTTAATAAAGGACAGTCAACACGGATTTGTTAAAAGCAGATCGTGTCTGACAAACCTAATAGAATTTTTTGATGAAGTGACTGAGAGGGTGGATGAAGGTAGTGCAGTAGACGTAGTTTATCTGGATTTTCAAAAGGCATTTGACAAAGTGCCACATAAGAGACTTGTAAACAAAATAGAAGCCCATGGTATTAAAGGTATTAAAGGGACTGTGTCAACATGAATCCATAATAATAATAATAATAATCCTTGCATTTGATATAGCGCTTTTTACGTCTTCTAGACGTCTCAAAACTGAAAAAAAAAACACTCCAGTGTCCAAAGAGGATTGAAAGATTGTGGGATTGAGTGGAATTGAGTTGGATTGCTCTTTTAGGACTGGGCGCAGATGCAATGAGCCGAATGGCCTCTTTCTGTGCTGTATGATTCTATGATTCTATGAAGTTATTGTGCTTATTATTAGGACTGGGTGTTACTATGCAGCACTGTGGCTCATCTTCATCTGTTTGAGGCTCAGATTGTTGAGTGGCATAGTGCTACATGATGCCATATCTGAAGGTTTCAAGCATTGAATCATTGACTATCCAGCGCCTTGGGATGTCCCCCTGACATGAAAGGCGCTAAAGAAATGTAACTTTGTTGTTGTTGCATAATCTGGGATTGTCCTAATGATCTCATATAAAACAGGAAGTAGGGGAGAGGAAAAGGAGAAAAGAGGGTTATAGATTGTATGCATGTGCTGATGGCAAATAAAATGTTGATTTTCCTAAAATTTCTCAAGGAAGTACGATTTATGTGACTGGATAAAGTACATGGATAAAGAGTGAGCACCTTAACCTAAGGATACTGTTATATCCGCTGCAATTCTCCTGCACAGGTAAGAGGCGATAGCTAAGTAGTATGAAAAGAAATTCACAAGTCTCTTTTTAAAAAAAGTGATTCTCAAATGGATAGAAGACTATGCTGGAAATGAGAATGCTTTTCAATTTTGAGGTAGTAGCACTAGCACTGAATACTCTCTTGCACAGCCAGCTGAAGAATAAAGTTCCCCTCTGTTTTCCTTAGTATTATGAGTTCAGAATTATTTTGTATAGTATTTGAACTTATTAATAAATAGTTAATTTATAGTGCTGTGTATGCTTTGTGCTGTTTTATTAGCATTGTGGAATGTACTGATTTACACTTGGTGAATAATACTGTATACAAATGTAATATGTTGTGTATACTTGTATGTATACATTGTCCATGAGTCCATAACAGGCTCCAATACCACAGAAATATATTGTGCTATATTGTTAGTACAGTATATTATTATCCCTTGATCCAAGCAAAATTAATCTCAACCCAATTCTTGAGGCATTATTCCCTATCCTTAATTTGGCTCTAAATTAACAATTGGTTTTTTTGTGCAGGAGAATCATCACACCATCACTTACCACTGCCAAGGGAAGGGGGTGACTTACTGCATATACCTCATGGGCTCTCATGCTGTTGCATGTACAATAAAGTAATGGCCAAAGGAAAAGTAGGAGCATTGTCGGCCTACAAAGAACAATGTGACTTTCTCAGGTGTCAGCCTGGTTCAATTGGCAGTATTTTCACCCTGAGTAGAAGGTTGTGGGTTCAAGCTCCACTTTGGGCATTGAATTCATATAGCTGACCCTCCAATGCAATGCTGGGGTTAGGCTGCACAGTTGGAGATGCCTATATTTGGATGAGGCATTAAATTGAACTGGTTGCTGAGGTGGATGTTAAAGATTCCACCTTTTCGCACTACTTGAAAAGAGAAGAGACTTAATCCTGGTGTCCTAGCCAACAATCCCCCAGATAAAATTGTTCATTCTCCTCACGGTTGTTTGTGGGACATTGCCGAATGCAAATTGCAGCCTGTTCTGAATTCTTTAAATCCTTGAGGGGGGGGAAAGAACCAGTGCTTGCCATTGCTGGACTACAGTACTGTGAATGATTCTAACATTAAATTTCTCTGGTGTTGTGGTTCATCTAGTTATTTATTTAGGTTACAAACCACATCACTTTATTTTGTTACTTTACTTAGCCTTTGAGGTAAATGTTACAATCAAAGGCTGATTTATTCCGTTTAATCTGTTTCACTGTGTGATGGGATAAAGATTACACCAAAATGTGTGTTCTGTTATCTCTCATCCTTCGCGGGAAGGCACATTCTAGTAACCAAATGGTAGGCCAAAGTAGCAATCTCAGGTCATTCTGACCAGAGGAATACAAAATGAATGAAGAAAGGAATGAAACTAGTAGTTTAGCTTTGATAAAGAATAAAAGCAAAGTCTAGAATTGGTTGATTTGGCTACTATTCCAGCCTTCTGCTTGTCCCTCATGCCACTCTGCCCTGAAAACCTGGAACACCCTCCACTTTGGCCCCTCCTTCCCCATCCTCAAGTTGCGCCTGAAGACCTTCCTTTTCGACCATGCCTACGGTCACCTCTCCCCGGCTCAGCGTCGTACTCCACCACTGTCAAGTGCTCTGGGAACCTACCCTGCATGAGGGGCGCTATATAAATGCAAATTGTTGAAATTGATTTTAGTGCTGGGTGTTATACTAATTTGTACTTGGGTACCAATGACCAGATTAAGAACTTCCACGTCCATTGTTATAGCAGTTGGATGCAGAATAAAGTATCCTCTACTATGTTGCAATATTGTAATGTGCAGATCCCCTTACTTCAGTGAAACAAACAACAGCCACTCAGTGGCCTCTTTAATTGTGTTTTCGAGTTTATCTTGCCTTGTTGTGTGTTGTTTCCATTCAGGAGATTGGTGGTCAGTACACTTGTTCCTGATTGTATGTATTGGAGAGTCAGACAACCCTTTTGATCAGTAGAGGTAGCTGCTGACTACCTTTCCCTGTTGTATGCTTCTAGTCCAAGTATTTTCTTGGTTGTAGCCACTGCCCTTCACAGATGATTCCATTGAGTTGGGTACAGAGCAGAAACCAACAACATGGGACCACCTAAAAACCATACTGTGGAGTCCTGTAGCTCAGTGGTTAGAGCACTCACTTTGCACATGAAAAGCGCTATTATCAAATGCAAGGATTATTATTAATTGTCCTAGCAGCAATGTTGCTTCTCCTACATTAAAACCCAATGTCAATTAGTAGGAAATTAAGGGTCCATTTCACTCAGAGCCTTGTAACTAAACAATAGAGGAGATTGTCAAGCATCCAGTCTGGGTTAAATTCTAACCAGGTCCCACAAGTGAACGCCAACACCTAGGTTACTTTAGCAAGTATGATAAAGGTTGATATCTGATTTGTGCAGGTATTTTCTTCCACTAATTACTTTTTTGTTTCTTTCCAGGTTGATTGGAGCACTTAAATTTAAAAGTGTGAGATTGTAGCAATGCATTTAAGAGAACGAAAGGACGTAATCAGGATGGAAAATGTTTGGAATTTATTTTGTGGAGTTACTGAGAAAAATACTACCTTTCCATCAAAAGAATTAAACTTAATTGAAGACTTGTGTTTCACTGAAGGTGTAAACATTCTTCTACATGCTGGATTGGTGATATTTTCTATTTTTGGAATTTTTGCGACGAGACGTAAAAAACGTACCCCATTGTTTCATAGTGACAGTTTACTGAGAGGCTGGGTCCATTTTCCATGGCACAATTGTCGCTGGCTACTAACTTTTGTGTACATTTTTTTGTCCATGTGTTGTTTATGGGATGGCATTTTATCACAGCGTCGCTCCACAATTAATAGACCATTTCTTTATACAGTAGATGCAGTGCAGCTACTCTCTTCTATCCTTTCAATCATGTATTATGATGCAGTTGAAAAAGCAAATGATCCCCTGTATTTACTACTCTTCATCTGTCATTGGCCCACTGCCTGTGGCATTAATGTGTTTAAAGTTTATCAGCTGTACTTAAAGAACCTCACCATCTACCATCTGACCTTTTCCCTCACCTGTATCCTGGTGGTTGTCTATGGCTTGTTTATCATTCTGGAGCTCTGCGCATTTTTTCAACTGGTGAGTCCATCAGACATTAATGACCAGCACTAACATTTTATTAACAATGTGTGAATCTGGTTTGGGTTTCTTTCGGCTCCAAAATCCAGAGTGTAATGTATACAGTGTTCAACAGTATATAAATGGTTGATATTTAGAAATAAAGTTCCTTCATTGAGTCTTGATTTAACATTGTGTGTGCGTGCATGCACAGGATCTGGTAATGAAACCTTTCAAGAGCCTTTATATGTACATCTATTAAAGATGGTGGATAAAGAGGGCTGTGAAAAAATGCAATTTCAGTAGCTTGAAATTGCAACAAAAGTGCTTCAGTTTCAGAAGTAATTACAAGAAGTTATTAGTATTGTGAGAAGGCAATTCACCTTAATTCTTTCATTTTCAAAGTTAACCTTTTGATATTTGACATTAATATATTCTCACACCAAGATGAGACTTATTGAAAATAAGTTTCTGAAATATAGCAACCAAATGAACTTTGATCTAATTGAATAATTAGTTTTGTACCTTCTAATGTGGCTTTTTATGCAATACAATATATACCTTCCAATACAAACTTTTTGTATGAGCTTCAACCTTACATGTTGCTTTAATTTTTAGCTAGGAGTTAATGGTTAGATGTTTTTAAGGAACAAAATTATTGGGAAGTAGGATTACTAGCTAACCATATGGTTTTAGTTATAAAAGACCTTGATTTGTGAGACTTTTATCTCTTTTACATTTTTTAAAATGCATACATTTAATTTTTACTAAATGTGTTTGAGACTGTTTCTATTAATGAAAATTGATTAATTACACAAATCTTTCTGATTCAAATTTATGGGATGCTTTGTGTGTGTATAATATACATATATAAATATTTTCCATTAGCTAAAATAGTTTATATTATTTCTCATTTAAGAGACTCTGCATGGTAAAGTGTTTGGCAAACCATTGGAGTGGGAGAAGAGCCAGAGGAAGTGGCCCTACAGGTTATTAAGTTAATGGCTTGATAGATTTAGCACACTTTGATGTATGATTACAAAGGAAAATTATGCTAACCATTCATTTCATCAAAGTTGCATTATTGGCACACATAGCATCATTCGCATTGTGTTTTTTGCTGGAAATTTGCTGAATGATCTTTTGTGAAGTCATTGAAATTATTCAAGTCCTATTGAAAGATGACAAAAATAGCTGGTGATCACGACAAATGGTGTGCTGAACGAGATATAATTTGCCTTTTATAGGGTTACCTTGGTCCATGGTATTCCAGACGGGTCCCTCCTTTAGAACTACAAGATGCAAGCAGAAAGTTTCACCAACCTTATGTCAATACCTTTTCACAAATAACCTACTCGTAAGTGAACATGTTTCTGTAAGTACAGCATACGTATTCTTTAAGATGTATTAATGTCTGTTGTTCAGTGGTACCTTCCTAGATTCAGTGTTTAAAAATAATATCCTTACATTTGGGAAAACACCTTTCTTGTCGGAAGGATATCTCTAAGCGCTTCACATGGTATACCGTAATGAGTAGTGATTGTGTTTTTGTAGGCAAATGCATCAATCAATTTGCAGATAGCAATGTTCCAGAAACGGTCATGAAGTAAATGCCCAACTTTATTTGGAGAATTGTTGGCTGAGACACCGAGAATAACTCCCTTCTCTTTTTGAATAGTGCAATGGGATCTTCAAAGTCCACTCGAACAGGTAGACAGGAGCTCGGTTTAATATCTCATTCAAAGGATGGCACCTCCCCAACATTGTAGTGCCCTCCCCAGCACTGCATTGGAATGTCAGCCTAGACTATATGAGTTTAAAGGCCCGACATATGACTTGAACTCTCAACGTGACTGAGAAGCGAGAGTGCTACCAATTGAGCCAAACTGACACAAAGCCTAAAATTAGAATCCAGTACCAATAAAATTGCCCAATTTCTATGATTTACTCAAGATCCGATTTTGCTGTTGACCGTCAGGAACCAAATATATATTGTACAAAAATCTTATCTCTATTATTACGTTGTCTTTTTCTTATTATTGATCCACCTTATTACTTTGCACAAATTAAGTGGAATTGATCAAAATGAGGAAAAAAATGGAACCAGGACATTTGGAACCCAAAAGGAGTTAATTTTTTGACAAATTTGTAATCAGCTGAACATTAGTGTTTTAATTTTATTTATATTTCTTAAGAGGCAAATAATTGTGTAGCATTAATTGCAAGCTAAATGTACCTATGCTATCATTGATTTCAAATAACTAGAATATGTCTCATTTCCCTCAATGTATTAGACTATATTATTACTCCACAGCTTGTGGCTCAGAATACAACAGGGGATTATGTTTTGTAAGTAAAGTAGAACTCACCTTTTAACAGACTCCATCTACTGTAATACTTAACCATCATTGTATTTGTAGTTTATAGTGGTAGATTAGTTTTATTATTTGTAGTACCTAGTTCAATTCTGAAGTCAACCTGGCTAGTTGGTAGTACTCTTGCATCAGAAGTCAGAAGCTTGTAGGTTTAAGCAGCACTTTGACCTCTCTGTCCAGGTTGACACTCCATTACGGTGCTGGGAGAGCACTGCATTGTTGGAGGTGTCATCCTTTGATTGAGATGTTAAATCGAGGGCTTGTCTGCCTGTTCAGGTGGCTGCTAAAGTTCCGGTGTCATTTGGAAAGAGAAGGGAGTTTCTCCTGGCACACTGGAGTCAACAATGCCCCAAATAAATGATCATTGACTTCATAGCTGTTTGGAAGACATTGCTGTGTGCAAATTGGCTGCCATGTTGATCTACAAAATATGCAATCATTACTCTTCACAGCAGATCCCTATGAAGCATTTTGAGATGTCGTTCTGATGTGAGGCATTATACCAAATCATTATTATTACAAGTTGTTGGTACAATCCTCTATACCACAGCTCACTTGTAGTCCATTTGACTTGATCAAGACTGGACTATGGGAACTCTCTCCTCGCCGGCCTTCCCGCCACCTCCCTCCACAAGCTGCAGGTCATTCAGAACTCTGCAGCTCGTGTACTGTCCCGCACCAGGCTTCGGGACCACATCACACCCACCCTCGCTCGCCTCCACTGGCTCCCCATCCCCCAGAGGATTGATTTCAAGATCCTCACCCTCACCTACAAGGCCATTCACGGCCTTGCTCCCTCCTACCTCTCTGACCTACTATCCCCCTACCTACCTGCCCGTACCCTCCGTTCCTCCGGCTCCGGTCTGCTCCACGTCCCCCGCCCCAATCGCCCTACCATCGGTGGTCGGGCCTTCAGCCTCTCAGCCCCCAGGCTCTGGAACTCTATCCCCCAGTGCCTTCGCTTTGCTTCCTCCCTCTCCTCCTTCAAGGCCGGTCTCAAAACCTTTCTCTTTGACCGTGCCTTCAGCTCCCCACTCGACTCTCTTCCCCCTCCCTTCCCTCCCCCTGACCATTTCCCCCCTCCTCGCTCCCTCCCTTCCCTCCCCTCACCCTGACCATTTCCCCCCTGCTCGGGTCATGACGCAACTGTGCAGCGCCTTGGGACGTCCTCCTGATGTGAAAGGCGCTTTATAAATGGAATCTTGTTGTTGTTGATCAATTGTTACAAATTCCAGACTATTTGCCAACTTTATCCCTAATAAGATTCCTATTAGTTAGCTTCATATTGTGATTTTGTTCAACACCATTTCAGTAGTGAAAGCAATCACTGCAGTTAACAGAAGGGGAAAATTACAAATGGAACAATGTATGTGTAAGAAGCAAGGTCTAGCTTGGTTAATGAAGCGTGGCTGTTCTGCAGGCTACAGAACTTTTTTTTTGTAATTAAAATTACTTCATAACAAGAAAAATCTAGCAGTACAATTTTACTTCAGATCAAATCAAGTCGTACCTGGGTTTTGGACAGTTATAACCACGATTGGCAATCACTTGATATTAGGTAAAGAAATACAAATTGCTACATTGGAGGAAAACCAGCCTTTTCTCTTGGGGAACAGGCCAGTATTTTGAGTATTTTGTCTGATATTTTGGGGAATGGAATATATATGCAGGACTAATTTAGAGTTTAAAATAGAGTAGTTTATGTATGGTCTGTGGAAGATCGAGATCAATAAGCTCAATGACATTTCTTCATTGTGTGCTTCATGTTTTCCTGTTCTTTTTGTTTCCTAGGTGGATTTCATGGCTGTTAAAAGAAGGGTCTCATACCCCAATTCAAATGGAGACACTTGGAAAACTCTCTCAGGTTGTTTCCAGTTAAGGGTGTTGTCCATTTTAAACTTTAATACAAGTTGATGTTCATGTCAAATATTTTGGGATGAAAACACCTGATGCAGAATTACAGTTTACAAACCTTTCAGAAAAGAGTTCAAAGGGGCGTTTGTAAAGTATCTAATTCCAGGGCAATTTAATATATTTTAATAAAAGTTTATTTTTCTTAATATTTCTAAGAAATCACCAGTAGTGTTTGACATAATTTATTAGTTTTAAAACTTAGTATAGATTTTGCTTTCTGGTCAATTTTGCCTATCTTATTCGATTTACACATAGCAAAGCAAACCTGATGCTTTTCATAAAAACATAAGAACATAAGAATTAGGAGCAGGAGTAGGCCATTTGGCCCCTCGAGCCTGCCCTGCCATTCGATAAGATCATGGCTGATCTTCAGACCCAACTCTAATTACCTGCCCTATCCCTATATCCCCTAATCTCTCTATTTTTAAAAAATCTATCAGTCTCAGCCTTGAGGATATTCAAGGACTGAGCATCGACAGCCTTCTGGGGTAGTCAATTCCATAAATTCACTACTCTCGAGAGTGAAGAAATCTTTCCTCAACTCTGTTCTAAAAGGCTGACCCTTAATTTTAAGACTGTGACATCTGGTTATAGATTCTCCTACCAGGGGAAACAGACCGCCAGGTCTACTTTATCCAGCCCTTTAAGAATCTTATATGTTTCAATAAGATCTCCCCTAATTCTTCTATACTCTAGAGAATATAGCCCTAGTTTATTCAGACTATCCTCATAGGTCAGTCCCCTCATCCCAGGAACTAACCTAATGAATCTACGCTGCACCCCCTCTAGGGCAAGTATGTCCTTTTTTAAATAAGGAGACCAAAACTGCACACAATACTCTAGGTGCGGTCTCACCAAGGCCCTATACAGTTGCAGCAAGACTTCCCTACTCTTGTACTCTAAACCTTTTGCAATGAACGCTAACATGCCGTTTGCCTTCTTAGTTGCTTGCTGCACCTGTAAACTAACTTTTTGAGACTCGTGTACAAAGACACCCAAATCCCTCTGAACACTAACACTATCTAATCTCTCCCCCTCTAGAAAATAATCTGTTTTTCTATTTTTTCTACCTAGGTGAATAACTTCACACTTCCCCACATTAAATTCCATCTGCCACCTACTCGCCCCCTCCCCTAGCCTATCTATATCCCGTTGCAATCTTTTTGCATCATCCTCAGAGCTTACTCTCCCACCTAGTTTAGTGTCATCTGCGAATTTAAATATGTTACATTCAATGTCCTTGTCTAGATCATTGATGTAAATTGTAAATAGCTGAGACCCAAGCACTGATCCTTGTGGCACTCCACTAATAATAATAACAATAATAATCCTTGCATTTGATAGAGCGCTTTTCACGTCGGGAGGACGTCCTAAAGCACTTCACAGAACACACTGTAAAGTGAATTGACTGTATGTTTGTGGGCGAATGCGGCAGCCAATTGCGCACAGCAATGTCCGACAAACAGTCATATGGATTGAAAATGACCAATTATTGTTTTTTTTTGGAGGGATTATTATTAGGCGAGTGGAGTAAGGAAACTTGCCCAAGGTTTCGCCCTCTGCCTGAAATTGAACTCAGGTCTCTCACTTGCAAAGCGAGTGCTCTAAACCACTGAGCTACAGGACTCCACTAGTCACATCCTGCCAATTCGAGAATGACCCGTTTATCCCTACTCTCTGTTTTCTACCCGTTAGCCACTCTTCAATCCATGCTAATATGTTCCCATTAATCCCGTGGGTCTTAACCTTGTGCAATAGCCTTTTGTGTGGCATTTTGTCAAATGCCTTTTTAAAATCTAAATATACTACATCTACTGGTTCCCCCCTATCTAACCGGCTAGATACATCTTAAAAAAAACTCTAAAAGATTAGTTAAGATTAGCTGTTTTCACAGCTGTTTCATTTAATGCATTAGATTGGACAACTAAATGCAGAGAAAGAGTATGAGAGAATTGGGGTTAGAATGGATAGCTTCTTGGAGCAAACACTGTAAAAAAAAATTGGGCTGAATGTTTTGTCCCACTGTTGTGTTTATTTTTCTTTTTGAGGTAAATGTTTTATATTAAAACACTCCAAGGTGCTACCCCATGTGATATAAATGCAAGTTGTTGCAATTGTACTAAGTATTTTATGTCTAAAAGGATGAAAGAAGGATTAAAATTAGCATCTTGATGAAAAAATAATCAGAAGGCATAGATTAAATCGAAGATAGTAATTACATTACAAGTGACAGCAGAAGAGGAAATGAATGACAGAGGTGGAAATCTACATATTTTGTTGATTAACTGCAAGCTTGATAAACTTAAACCTAATTTACTTACTTTTTCAGGAGTTGCTCAAACATTCCCTGTGGATTTAGTTACATTTTTGTAAAGTTTTTTTAAAAAAAATCTGTAAACAGTAACCTTAAACAACTTAATGAGTTGTAAATTTATGTTTTTCTTTTTAGCAAGAAATGGGCCTTACTAATTTTCAAGTATTCAAGAGATCTTATGATAAGCAAATGGTAAGGAATATTTACATAATTATTGGTCTGTAGTCCATGAGACATTGAACAATTGTGTGTATGTGTGTCAGTGCTTTAATTTCTTTCCAGTACTTTGCATCTTTTGGCATTGTGAATTTCAGGAAACTATATCCCCAGAAAGAATGAAGTCTGGTGATCTGGGAAAAGTTTATTTCAAGGCATTCGGCAAGCCTTTCCTGATTGGAGCAGTCTTGAAGATTATAGGTGATCTGGCAGGATTAATTGCACCACTCTGCATTGATGGTATTCTGAGATTTGTGGCTGATGACTTTAAGTATTCAGAGAAGGTAAGGGTTTTTGTAGATTATTCTGAGCTGGTATTGACTGAGTCTTCTTGCATATTAATTAATGCTTGCGTTATCAGACGACTTTCAAGTACAGAGGTTTGGAGATAGTTTGTAAGTCTCAGAAACCTTAAATTCCACCTAATCTTGGCCTTGTATTTTGTCTTATAATTTAAGATTGCGCAGAATTTTGGTGGAAAATTCATTTCAATTTGGAAGTATTTTTTTAATTTCTTAAAAAGAATTAATTCCAAATTGAGATTGAATTTAAGAATTTTCCACAGTGCTGCATGATTATAAATTTCAAGACCAAATGAAAAATCATCTTAAGTCTAATACTAAAATGAATTTTGGGGGGGTATTCAGGACTAATTCCATTATGATCAGAATATTTCACTGCTGATTGCTTGATTTACAGATGTTTTGGTGCTTGTGATTTATGACTTGTTTCTCTGTTCCCACCTCTCCCAGAAAAGCTTTGACTATTACTAAGTACAGTTCCTTGAGCACAGGCAGCTCTCTTAACCAAGTTGCTCTTCCTCACGTGAGTTCTTGCAGAATTTGGGGATATCACAGCAAAGTCTGATTCCCTCTGGATTCTTTGCTTACAAATGCAACCAGGTCATTGGATAGTGTTGAGAAGCAGGATCCTTGAGCTTAAATTTCCCATTCTGCCTCCCCTCCGTCCAGGAATCTCTAAGCCATTTGTCGTGCTCGACTGCTGCTCTGCCTGAAAACTCTGCAAAAGGACTAGGTGTCTGACACGTGTGGAAACCAGTCACCACGCTTCAAAATACCCAAACCAATCTGAGAGATTCACCTATGTTTGCAGCCTAGACATGGAACTTTGCTTGTATGCTTTGCTCTGAAATGGAATGTGTACTCTTTCTGGAGAATGGGGAAACAACCTGCTTACCTAATTCTTGAAAGAATTAGGTGCAGACTGGCAAGAGCCAAGGCTTGGGTTGTATGCTTGAGTGTATGTTGGGTTACTGCTGGAGTTTGTCGCTAAAACCCCATATTTTGTCATTGAGATTATTGACCAGCAAACTTTCTGTTGCTTGTCCAGCCAAGACCACCATAATCATTATGAGTTTGGCCTACTCAGTGGGAAAAAACCCCTGCTCCCAGGACTGATCTGGCCCTCCATGTTCTGCTTATGAGGAAGGCTTTATGATTGCCAGCTCTGCTCCAAGCAGGACTTTGCTCGTGTTTTAGATCTTTATTGTCTTCCGTTCTCTGCACAGGGATCATATTTTGTGAGTGTATGGGAATTCATCAGTAATGGCTACATCTTGACGTTCTTGATGCTGTCCACAATGCTCCTTCAGAACATTTGCTTACAGCTGTCGTATTACATTGTTATCCGGGAGGGAATGCATATAAGAGCATCTCTGCAGGTGAGACCACCTTTAAGTATCTAATGGACTGAATATGGATGAATATTTGCTATTTACTGACAAAATGTCTACAGGCTTACAGTGTCCTCACTTGCATGTGGGCAATGAATGTCAACTGGCTTTGTGACCCCACTCCCGGGTGGGCAGGTAACATTGCTGGGCTTACAAGGCTTCCATTCCATTGAGATGGAATTCCATACCTCTTATGACTGATTTGTTTATTTTAAACACTAAAATATATTTATCACTATTTGGAGGATGCTGGTGTTAAAGTTGAGGACTCTGGGCTCAAATTCCACTAAGCAGGATGATAGGTGATAACCAGTCATATGGGCTGTTTACACAATTTGGGTGGGCGGTAGTGTGGGACCAATGTGGAGTTAAACATGAATGAGAGGATTGACAAGCCTGCATATCAGAAATAAATTAAACTTTTAAAATTCAACAAGAATACTGTTCAGTCCAGGTTCATCAATAATATTTTAAACATATTCTAATTTTACTGGAAGACAGTCGTCCTCATTTAAGTTATGTTACCAGCTGCCAGCATTTGTACAGAAGCAGCTTGTGTGACTTGTCCCCTATTTGTTTGAAAATTTTCTTTCTTTCCCTCCCCTGTGGCGAAGTGTCTCCCACTTGGTCAGGTGTCCCCTTTGCTGGCACACTCACAATTGTGACTTTTTCACATCAGAAATTATAGGCAGAAAGACCTGTTCCCTCATTAACTAGGGTGGTCTGACGAGTCTATCTAGTCCTCACAGCACAACAGTTTTAACACAAAATACAGTAAAACAGGATTCGCTTTAAAGAAATTGCTATAACTTGAAATAACTATAATAAATTTGGCATGCATGTTTACAGCTGATCTACGTACTTAATAATGTCCCCAATCATGTCCATTTTTTTTGTGTGCTCTTTCTTCAGTCAATGATTTACAAAAAGGCTCTATTGCTGCCTGTATGGGTGTTCAGTGGAGGTCTTCTCACAGTGGGTCAAATTATGAATTACATGTCAATAGACTCGTTACAAATCATGATGGCTGCATTTTTGGGATTCTACATTGTTTCAATTCCTATACAGGTATGTTACTTTCATATTTCTTTTTTTTAAAAAATTGTATTCACAATACACATGAAAAACAAATTAATAAAATTTGAGCATGCTTCTATGGAATTAACACATGAAGCAGTTGCCTCAGAAGTTATAATTCTTGCATTTGATCATAGAATCATAGAATTGTACAGCACAAAAAGAAGCCATTCGGCCCATCGAGTCTGTGCCGGCTCTTTGAATAGAGCAATTAATGTCACTCCCACTCCCCAGCCCTTTCCCCATAACCCTGCAAACCCGTCCTCCTCAAATACCCGTCCACCGTGTTTTTAAAAGTAGTTATCGAATCGGCCTCGACCACCCTTTCAGGCAATGCGTTCCAGATTCGAACAACTCGCTGCGTGAAAAATTTCTTCTCGCCTCCCCTCTGCTTCTTTTAGAGACTATTTTGAATCTATGACCTCGAGTCACCAACACACCCACCAGTGGAAACAGTTTTTCCCTTTCCAACCTATCAAATCCCCTCATGATTTTGAAGACCTCTATTAGGTCTCCTCGTAACCTTCTCTGCTCCAATGAGAATAATCCCAGCCTCTCTAGCTTTCCTTATAATCAAGGTCCCTCATTCCTGGTACCATCCTCGTAAATCTCCTCTGCACCCTTTCCAATACCTTAACATCCTTCCTTTTGTGTGGTGCCCAAAACTGGGCGCAGTATTCTAACTGAGGCCTAACCAGTGTTTTATATAGGTTAATCATAACCTCCTGACTCTTGTACTCTATGCCCCTATTTATAAAGCCTAGAATCCCATTTGCCCTTTTTACAGCTTTATCTACCTGTCCTGCCACCTTCAAGGATTCATTTACCTGCACCCCAGGTCTCTCTGTTCTTTTACCCCCCCCTTAAGATTGTATTACCAGCCTATATTGCCTCCCCTCATTCTTTCTACCAAAATGCATTACTTCGCATTTCTCTACATTGAAACTCATCTGCCATGTGTCTGCCCATTTTACCATTCTGTCTATGTCTTCCTGCAGTTGGCTACTATCCTTCTCACTGTTTACCACCCTACCTAACTTTGTGTCGTCCGCAAACTTGGAAATGCTGCTTGCTATATCCAAGTCCAGAACGTTCATGTATATTAAGAAGAGCAGTGGTCCTAATACCGATCCCTGGGGGACGCCACTGTACACTTCCCTCCAGTCAGAAAAGCAGCCGTTCACCACAACTCTCTGCTTTCTGTCTTCCAACCAGTTCTGGATCCATGCTGCCACTCTCCCTTTTATACCATGGGCTTCTATCTTTCTTACAAGTCTTTCATGTGGCACTTTGTCAAATGCCTTTTGAAAGTCCATATAAACTACATCAACTGCACTACCTTTATCCACCCTCTCCGTTACCTCATCGAAAAATTCTATTAGATTTGTTAGACAAGATTTGCCTTTAACAAATCCGTGCTGGCTGTCCCTAATTAACCCATATTCTTCTAAGTGAAGATTTATTCTGTCCCGGATTATAGTCTCCAGGAGTTTCCCCACTACTGATGTTAGGCTGACTGGCCTGTAGTTCCCAGGTTTGTCCTTCTGTCCCTTTTTGTACAGGGGAGTAACATTAGCCACTCTCCAGTCCTCTGGCACCACTCCTGTGTCCAACGAAGATTGAAAAATTGTAGCCAAAGACCTCCGCTATTTATACTCGTGCCTCTCATAGTACCCTTGAGTGCATTCCGTCCGGACCAGGCGACTTATCTACCTTCAGCACAGTCAACCTTTTCAGTACTTCCTCTTTGTTTATACTTATCCTATCCATTTCCTCTACCCTCTCCTCCAATACTGCGGCATTTGGTGCATCCACTTCTTTTGTGAAGACAGATGCAAAGTACTCATTCAGCACATCAGCCATGCCCTCTGCCTCCACAATAAGATTTCCCCCTTGGTCCTTAATTGGCCCCACCCTACCTTTGACTAGCTTTTTTTCCTTGATATGTTTGTAAAATATTTTAGAATTCCCTTTAATGTTACCCGCTAACCTTTTTTCGTATAATCTTTTTGCCCCTCTTATTTCCTTTTTCAAACCTCTTCTGCACTTCCTATATTCGATTTGGTTGTCTTCTGTATCTTGGGTTTGACATTTGTCATACGCCTCCTTTTTCTGCTTCATTTTAGATACAATTACCTTCGTCATCCACGGAGGTTTGGAAGCCCTACTTTTCCCTTTTGTGGGAATGTATTTATTTTGTCCCCGAGCTATCTCATCCTTGAAGACTTCCCACTGCTCTTTAGTTGTTTTACCTGCCAATCTTTCTTTCCAGTCCACCTTGGCTAGGTCCCTTTTTAACTCACTGAAATTTGCCCTCTTCCAGTTGAATATCTTTACCTTAGATGGTTCCTTGTCTCTTTCCATATGCACTTTAAATCTAATGATGTTATGATCACTATTACCCAGATGCTCTCCCACTGAAACTTGCTCCACTTGTCCTACTTCATTCCCCAGAACTAGATCTAGCACTGCTTCCTTCCTTGTTGGGCTGGAAACGTACTGATCAAGAAAGTTGTCCTGTATGCATTTTAGGAATATTTCCCCCTCCTTGCCCTTTGCGCTGTTGTTTTGCCAGTCTATGTTGGGATAATTAAAGTCCCCCATTATCACGACTCTATTGGCCTTGCATCTGTCTGAGATCTGCTTGCAGATCTGCTCATCTATTTCCTTCCCACTATTTGGTGGTCTATAGTATACCCCTACCAGCGTAACAGCTCCTTTTTTGTTCCTTAACTCTAACCAGATAGATTCCGTTTTGGGGCCCTCCAGCACCTCGACCCTTTCCACGGCTATAACCGTATCTTGACTAACATTGCCACACCCCTCCTTTTTTTTCCTTCCCTATCTCTCCTGAATACATTATAGCCAGGAATATTCAGCTCCCATTCCTGTCCTTGCTTGAGCCAATTCTCTGTTACTGCTACTACATCGTATCCCCCTATGACCACTTGAGCCTGCAGCTCACCAATCTTGTTTGCTAAATTCCGTGCATTTAGGCACATGCACTCCAAGAACGACTTGACCTGTTCTGCACTTCCCCCCCTGTTTTATTTCTCCATTTTCTAGTTCTTCGTTTTTTGCATTCCCTTCCCCCCTCAAAACTAGTTTAAACCCTCCTCAACAGCATTAGATAGCCTGTCTGCAAGCACATCCGCCCCAGCCCTGTTTAGGTGCAACCCATCCATATGATACAGGTCCCATCTGCCCCAGCAATGGTCCCAATGATCCAGAAACTTGAAGCCCTCCTTTCTGGATCATTTCTCCAGCCAAGCATTCATTGGCTTGATCCTGCCATTCTGGTACTTATTTGCCTGAGGCACGGAGCAATCCAGAGATCGCCACCTTGGATGTTCGATTCTTTAGTATCTTCCCCAGCTTTTGATATTGACCCTGTAGAGTCTCAGCCCTTTTTTTACCAATATCATGGATCCCCACCTGGACCACCACTTCTGGATGTTCTCCTTCCCCCTGAAGAATTTTATCCACCCTTTCTGCGATATCTAAGACTGTTACACCAGGGAGGCAACATACCATCCTTGACTCCCGTCTTCTGTTACAAAAACGTCGGTCTATACCTCTCACTGTTGTATTCCCAATGACAACAGCATTACTCCTGTTACCTATGTCACCCTGTTCCACCCGTTGGTTTTTACTGTCCTCCCTGGAGATATCCACACTCTCAATGTTCAGTACAGTGTACTGGTTTGAGAGTGCTACATTATTGGGGGCATTCTGCCTAGCCTGTCCCCTCTTCCTATCATGCTGCACAGTTACCCAGTCATTTTCTGTCTGAACCCTCGGTGTGTGGGGTGGGGTGACCACCTCTTGAGGTGTCTGGTCCATCAAATACTCACATCCGTTGATCAAGTTTGAATTCCAAGGCTCGATCACCCCTCTCTCAGGGGTCCCATTATCTGCAGCACTGATGAAAACACCCTGTCACTGAGCATTAACTGGATGCAAGTATCTCCCGAGCCTCAGGGGAGTGATGGTTTCCTCCAACATACTGTCCAAGAACCTCTCACTGTCCCTGATGAAGCACAGTGTCTGCACCTCGGCTTCCAGCTCAGCTACTCTCAGCTGGAGCTTCCTGAGTTGCAGACACTTGCTGCAGATGAAGTCACCCGGGCTCAGGGCGCCCTCCATTATCTCCCACATGTCACAGACCTCACATTTAACTTGCCACATCATCTTTTCACACAGTGTTTTCTATATATTTTTTTGTTTTGTTTTAATTTGCTGTCAGTGTTGTGGTTTCTGACAGTTTGTCGATGTTTGTCCCTGGTTCTGCAGTTGAAAAAATTACGTCAACCTACGTCACTTTTTCTTTTTTTCGGCGCTCGCTTACCTCCGCCACCCCTTTTATGCTCCGCTCTAACCTGATTGCTCACCCCGAGTGACCGAGTGCTTACTTCCGCCGCTCCTTTTATGCTGATCGCTAGGCCCAGGCTCCGCCTCCGCTCTGACCTGATTGCTCGCCCCGAGTGGATGTAACGCCTGATGTAGTGTCAAGATGCCGAGGCCCTCATCCATGCTTTCATCACGCCCGGGCTTGACTATACCAACTCACAGCTCGCCAGACTTCTCAATTCTTCCTTCCATAAGTTGCAGATTATCCAGAAGTCTGTAGCTTATGTCCTCTCTCACATGAGTCTATCACCCCCATCCTCACCTGGTTCTACTGTCTCCCCATTCCCCAGAAGATTGAGTTTAAGATCCTCATCCTCACTTTTAAAGCCCTCCATGGTCTTGCTCCCCCCACCTTTGCGACCTACTAAAACCTTACCAACCTGCCTACTGCCTCCGCTTAGCGGATACTGGCCTGTTCAATATCCCCTGCCCATCCCACCATTGGCAGTGAGGCCTTTAACCTTTCTGCCCCCACTCTCTGGAATTCCATCCCAGAGTTCCTTTGCTTCACCACTCCCTTGTCTCTTTCAAAGCCCATTTCAAGACCTTCCTCTTTGATCGTGCCTTCGGTCATCCTTCCCCCCAGCCTCCCCAATGCCTGCCGCTTGATTCCAACCCCCAGCTTGGATGCAAACCCTTGCCTGTCCGACGCCTTGGGACATCCTCCTGACATGAAAGGCGTTATGTAAATGCAATTTTGTGTTGGTGGTGTTGCGCTGCCACCATTGAGCCTATGGTGTGAGTGAAGTAACGATATGGAGAAATGTGACCCAGAATTTATGCTGCAGTGCTTGTGCCAACCTTTGCTTCAAATGTCGAGTCTGTTAAATCTGAGCAGTCAGTGAGACTAATGCAATTGTTCTTGTGATAGATTCCTGGCCAAATATTCTTGAGGTCTACATAACAATTTGAACCACTTGAGTGATTTAGAGGTTGTGCCAAGACGTTGGGAATGTGTTGTGGAGGGAAAGAGAGATTCATTTCAGAATAGCTGGTGAACCAATGCTATGTTTTAACTGAATATTTATTTAAGGACATGTTTAAAACATTTTTTTGTTTTAACTTGTCAAAGAGAAATAACTGAACTCTCAAGGGTTGTTGAAGATGAAACACTGAACAGGTCAGTACTGTAATGAAAGAACAGTAGTTCTGCTATTTTGGAAAGATGAGAAAAAAATCAAAGAGTCTTCTTTATCCAAACCTATCTTGTGAATTGGAACAGATTCTGTTCCAAAGTTTGAGTTCCACCTCAAGGATTATTCCACACTGAAGTATTGATGGGACCAGAGTAATTTCTAGGAGGGAGGAGAAGGGAAGTGGGTGTGCCGGGTGGGGGGGTGCAGAATCAGGAGTTGCCTCCCTTATGGCGTAACAGTACACTTTTCACTCGAAAGGCAGATATCCTACAAGTAGGGTGTCTCACCTTCTTGTTTCTAGAAGTGAAAACTGAGTAAGTCAGTTTCTTTTTAAAAAAGGAGAAAAACACTTTCCAAATTAAGAGTGACTGAGAATCTTTTAAAACAAATTCTGTGTGTTCTTAAATTTTAAAGCAATGAATATTTTCCTTAACACACTGAGTAATTTTGGCTCTCTAATGTGCACAATGAACCATTTTCTGCAGTGAAATATATAAATTACTTTTTGCTTTGCTTTCAGATTGTACTAGCAGTGATATTACTGTACTTTCAGCTGGGCATCAGTGCACTGGTGGGTATTTCTGTCATCCTTTTGCTCGCTCCTCTTCAGTATTTTATCTCGAAGAAGTTTGCTTCCATTCAGAAAAGAACTATGGAGTGTTCAGATGAAAGGATCAAGAAATCCAATGAGATGCTTCATTGCATTAAGGTAATGAAAGCTGAGTATGAGAGTTCCGGTTGCTTGGACACATCTTTATATTCCATTGAGTATTAAAAGCCTGAAATTGAGAAATAGATGACAGTACAGGGCTCTAACTTATGGAATGTATTCTTGTTAGGAAGGTGAAGGCCACACCCCAAGCCCTCAGTTGCTCATTCTCTTCAAAACCATTCTTTCAAAATATAACCTTGCTTTTCACATTAGAAAACGTAATAGTTCCCTAGTAGTTTCAATTACCTTCAACTGGAATTCAAAAGCTCTCGTGTTATAAACTAACATGGGCCAGATGAGGCATGATCTATAAGCACTTTGAGATGTTTTGATGTAATAGGCATTCAATTTTATCTAGTTGCGGGCAGTGCAGTGGGACAATGAAATGGATTTTCAGCCCATGGATTACAAGGACTCCACAAACATTTTTAGATTGACCCTCTTTCAGTACTTATAGCACACCTTGCCTTTCCCTTATTCTGTTAAATGCCCTATATTTTTTTCAGCCTTTTTTTAATGTAGCTTATTCTCTGAACACCAGAACCTTGCAGTTGCTTTTAAGTTTATAATCCTTGTCACTGAAGATTTAATGGGTTTAACCTTTGGCTGAGTTATTCCAGCTCTAGAATATTTATAAATCTCTTGAATGTTTGAGAAAAAGATGGTTTCACTCTACTGAAGATATCAAAGGATTATCTACTCATGTTGCTGTTTTCCATATCTCCCAATCCTCCCTGAATGATGTCAACCAGAAAAGGGCATCCATAAAAATAGTGTTCTAGGAATGTAACTAACTGTATATTTGGCAGAGATATAGCTTGCTAGACTTTATGATGTGAATATAGCGTTAAAAAGAACCAGATCTCGAAAACAAAAACTATATATTTCGCCCAGAAAATATATAGTCAATTCACTTTACAGAATATCCTATGAAGTGCTTTGAGACGTCTCAATGACGTGGTAAGATGCTATATCAAATATAAGGATTATTATTATTATCTTTCTAATAACCTCTTTTACCGTCACCTTTCCTCATCAATTACAATGCTTCCAGATGCATCTTCCAGATGCATCCTTCCAGATGGAGAATTGTCCACGATATTGGATGAATTTTGTAACTTTCCAAGAATCATGAACCACTCATTTCTGTGCAAGAAACTCACTTCATAAACTTTCCAGATTCTTAACCTAAACTTAATCAAAGCAAACACCATACCTGGATCTGATTTATTATTAATTCTGATTGTTGGGAGAAAACTGTTTGATGTCGGTCACAGTTTTTCTTTTATTTTTATTTGTGTTGGACTTCATGCATGTTAAATAGAATTAAAACTCTATTTAAATATCAATTTTCAAATTGTAACTTCCTAAAAAAGGTTCGAATCAAAGAGCTAATTTTTTAAAAAAAAATGATTTATCTTCAGTAAAAAGGACCACTTTAAAACACGGGTCCAGCTGTAAACTGGCTATAAACTTGTTTTTCACTTTTCTTTTCCCTCCATTTATTATCCTCCGGGGAGAAGGGGGCAGGGTAAGTGTAGTAGGCTGGCTCCAAGCAGACTTGCTTGGCAAAGGAATGTTGGAATTGAGCCAACACTCTGGCGTTCTCAGCTGTCTTGATTCCTGACCCAGGCCCACAGTACTCTGGGGCACTACTGATGTCAGACTAGCCAGCCTGACTCAATAACAAGACTTGGAGGGGCAGATAAGTTACTGGTAGTAGGGATTCTTCCCACTTGGCTCCTGTTAACCCTGCAAAAGGAAACCCCAACAAGTAGTACTGTCTTAGCTGGACGAGCAGCAAGAATCCTATCAAACATTGCTCTCCATGGCAAGCTATGCAGTTTTAGGTGGTTAAAGTATAGCAGATCCTCAGTGCATGCTCTGAGGTCCCATACTGCCTAATACACTCCGGATTAGGTAAGCAAGGTGCCTCCCAGAAATCTCTACATGTAAGTGGCATGCACATGTGGAACTTTGTATAGTTCGGATACTGTTAAGCATGTTGAAAGGTTTCTGCAGGCTTTTCTCCCATAGGGTGGGTGGGAGGAAATATGACACCAATTCTATTCTTTCTCAAAATTCAAAGATGCATATTTTCCAATTGGGGGGTTTCTGTCATCGTGAATTTATTTTTTATCTTTTAGGGTTTTACTAGTTATATAGTGTTATTTCATTTTCATTTAATATTTTAAAAAGTGAGGAACGAAATTTCTGCAGCAAGGAAATGTTTTACAATAAGGTTTTCTTCTCATGGGGTGGCCATTTCAGTATGAAACCCGATTTACTATCAGTGTGAAATTTGGTTCGCTATCATATTTTACGTTTTTTTAAGTGTAGATCTGACCATAGCATAAGAGCCCGTATGATGCCTCATTTCCAGTGAAATAGAAGAATGGATTAATTTGTAAACTGCTGAAGTGTTACTTTTAAGGGCTCATTAAAGTGAGAAATGATCAGACTGTAGAAGTGAATCGCTTCCAGATTCTGTTTAGTGGAACAACGGGTTATTTCTAGTTCAAGTGTAGAACAAGCCCAGATCCACAGATCCAGCACTGCCCAGCCATGTGAATCAAAAATTGCATAAAACATCAGCCAATGCGGTATCTACATTATCTCCATGTTCAGTACTGTTTTTGAAAGTGGAGTATGTTTTTCACATTTTAAAAAAAAAATCTGTGCCAGAGATGTTCCAATTTTGGCTCGTCTGCTCGGGAGAGGGATGGGGGTAGGGGAAGGAAGAAGAGAAAGAGATGCCAAAAGGATGCCTTCCTAATAGTGAAGGAAAAATGCTCTGATTCTGATTCAGGAAATAGAGGAGTTTAGGAAAGGCGAACAGGAGGGCTGGAGGATCATATGGAGTATAAACGTTGGTACAGAGTAGTTGGGTCAAATGACCTGTTTCTGTGCCAGGTCACACTATGTAATATAACTCTTCAACCCCTCCTGCTCCAGAGCTCAGAGGTATAATAATAATAATAATAATCCTTGCATTTGATATAGCGCTTTTCACATCGGGAGGACGTCCCAAAGAGCTTCACAGAACACACTGTAAAGTGAATTGACTATGTTATTGACTGTATGGAAGCAATAGTAATCTGGCACCCTCTCAGCCTGGGAGTAGTATGTATTAAGAGGAATTTGTAGATGGTGAGCAGAGAAGGAAAGGATCAAGGTAAACATAACCATACAATAATTAGAATTACTCACCATTTCCAGACTACCTTTGTTGTTTGTGCTGCTTTCACACTTGAGTGTAAACAGTCATATTCAAGTGGAAACAGTGTTTTTTAAATATATATTTAAAGTAATTATTATTTTAAGACAAACTTGTTTAGTATTTTACTGTGTGTCCTGCTGGTTAGTTCCTGCGATTGAAGAAACATTCCAATGTTGCCTCCATGATCAAGATTATTTTTGTCTGTTTTCCCTTTATAACCTGAGAACTAGTGTAGCCCTTCCAGCTACCGTAATTTAACAATAAACTGTAGCAAGCCAAACTCAAAATTGTTTGTTTGACCTAGTAATGATTTTATCTTTTCATTTCAGTTAATTGTTTACTAAAAATTAGGACAATTTTTAGTAAACTTTTAACTGAAGTGAAAAGATTGTCATTTGACAATTTTTGTATATATAATATTTTGTGGGTGTTAATTTTTATTTTAAGTTAAGTGAATCAGAAATCATGCAGCAAGCATGAGTAAAACTGTCTTGGATAATAAGTGAGGAATGACAGTGTTGAAGACAGTGGATATTTCAGCCAAATTATGTGTTGGCAAAGTTGACCCAGAATAGCATAATCACAAGAGATGATCAACCATCCAGAATATCCACCATTCATCAAAGCATTGAGCAGATTTTAAATGTGCCCAGTAGCCTGGTCTCAACTAGCCTTCCAGATAATTTGTTCCAATCATTCTGTACCCAGAGGGTATTTCTTACCCAGAGGGGAATTTGTCCAGAGGATAAAGAAATTCTTCCTTCTGTGTGCCGTGAAATTTGCTTATAAACCTAAACCTGTATCCTCTTCTATCTCAGTAGTAACCAAACGTATGAGTGAGTTTACCTTTTCAATCCATTTAGAAACGTCTATACCTGTATAAGGTACCCTCTGTCCAGCATCTTAATCTATGCATAGGGATTTTTCACATGCACTATTTCTGTTTCCTCCCCTCTCACACACGCACACACATTCACTTTTAAAGATCGAAACATTACCAATGTATCTTTTTCTGAAGAAAATCCTCCACTGTTCCTGTTACCATTGTACCTTCATTTAAGTTTACCTGGCTACCTAATAATAATAATCTCTCAAAAAAAATTGGTCACTCAATCCACGACTGTTTGTGGAATACTGTTGTGCGCAATGGTTGCTGCATTTCGCCCTCAAAATACACGGTCAATCCATTTTGCAATATATTCTGTGAAGCACTTTGAGAGGTTTCAAAGACGTGAAAAGCACTATATCAAATGCAAGAATTATTATTATATTATTCTGTGAGGGGTTTTGAAACTACTCAATGATGTGATAAGGTGCTATATCAAATGCAAGGATTATTATTATTATAATCTGACTATTTTCAGCTATCCCTTTGCCTCTTCTCCAGAAAATTGTAGGACTCTTTCTCCACTATCCTGAGGGAGTTTAAACAGTGTACCTGAGTGAAACAGCGCATCATTGTAATAACAATGGGATGGCAAGGTGTGCAGCACCTTTTTTTTTCTGCTAACCTGGTTAGCAGAGTGCTTTATTACAGACAGACACTCTTGACTCTACACATTCTTCTGTGTGTGGAGTCAAATCCCTTTTACCAAAACATATTGTGCTAACATAGTATGAAAGAAATATTGAAAACTGTTTATTCATTGCAATTCTTATTTAACATATAAAGTTTTATTTCTTTCAGCTTTTAAAACTCTACAGTTGGGAAGGTATCTTTGCCAGTGCACTTAAAGAAGCAAGGCAGAAAGAGATGAAGTACATGTTGAAAGGTTCATTTTCTGTCATTTCAACATGTGAGTTGACTCAACAAATGTATTTTAAAAAAAATGTGCAGTAGAAGTATGAAGTAACCAAAGTATTCTGCTTTTTAAAGTACCCTGAATTCAGAAATTCCTTGTTGTTATGTCTTTCTTTTGGCCAGCTGGGTTTCTGATACATGTGGAGTCCCATTGCCATGTTTAAGCATATATAAACCCCACTGAGCTGTCGAGACATACCACCTAAACCTGGAAATTCTCTTTGTTTCTTTGGCGGGCGGGTGGGCCTTCAGACACTGCCCCAACCCTCTGGAACTCCATTCTGGGGTCCGTCCACCTCACCTTCTCCCTTGCCTCCTTTATGATCCGTCTCAAGACCCTCTACTTCGCCCGTGCCTTCGTTCACCCTTCTTCCCACCCCTGCCCTCTTGGTGACATCATCGCAGACATGAGGTCAGCTTCCACATATATGCGGATGACACCCAACTCTATCTCTCTGCCCTCCACCCTCGACTCCGGCACTGCTGTCCTGACAGAATGTCTGTCAGTCATCAAGTCCTGGATGAGAGCTAACTTTACTGCAGTTGAACGTCAACAAGACCAAGGCCCTCCTGATTGTTTTCTGTCAGCGCCTCCACACCTCAGGCACTGACAGCATCCAAGGATGCATACTCCACCTCACTGAGCCAGTCCGGAACCTTGGCGTCTTGTTTGACCCTCAATTATCCTTTCTACTCTACATCTGTGCCATGACCCACTTTGCCTTCTCAGACTTCTGCAACATCACCTGGATCCGCCACTGTCTCACACACCACAGGCAGCTGAGACCCTCATATAAGCATTCATAACATACAGGCTCGACAATGCAAATTTTTGGCTCCCCAACTCCTCATCCGTAGGCTGCAGATCATCCAGTACTCTTTAGCCCGTGTCCTCTCCATCACCAGGCTCCGTGACCCTATCATCCCCATCCTTGCCTGATTCTACTGGCTTCCCATCACACACAGAATACAATTCAAGATCCTGGTCCTCACCTTCAAAGCCCTCCATGGCCTTGCACCCCCTACCTCTGCGACTTCTTACCATTCTATACCCATCCCCTGCTCAGCAGGCTCTGTCCTGCTTCACGTCCCCGCCTCACTTGCCCCACCATTGGCGGGCAGGCTTCAGCCACTCTGCCCCACCCTCTGGAAATGCAACACTTCGCCTCGGCCCCTCCCTTGCCTCCTTCAAGATCTGTCTCAAGACCCTCCTTTTCAATTGTGCCTGCGTTCAGCTTCCTTCCCCTACCTAACCTCCATGCTCCCTGATCCCGACTCCCAGCTCTGGTCCAAAACACTGACCACCGCCTTGGGACGTCCTCCCGTCATGAAAGGCCCTATACAAATGTAATTTTGTTGTTGTTGTTGTGTGCACGCTCCCCTTACCTAAATTCAGCACATATTGGGTACAGGTTTGCAAGAACCAAGACTTCAGTACCCCCGAGTATAGCGTACTACTAGTATTTAACCATTTAAAACCACTTAGCTTTCCTTCTACTTGGTCAACCTAACTTTGGCTAGCAGGGTTAACATGAGCTGAGTGGGAAAAATCCTTGTCCCCAATGACACTGATTTTCAAAGTCCTGCAGACACGCCAGGCTGGCTTATCAATTGTGCCACATAGTTCGGGAACCAGTCGCCTGAGATCACAGATGATAGACTCAATTCCCATATTTTATTGTCTGCCACGTCATTTTGGAGAGAGCTCGGCCCCAAGGAGACCCTACTTACCATCTCTCCTTCACCCCCTCCCTCCTGGAAGAATAGTCAGTGGTTGGTATAATGTCTTTCATGAGAGGCAGATGCTTTTATACTAAAATTGTTATGACCACTGAAGCAAGAATACCCAACACTATGAAATTGGCACTCTCTCTGCCAAATTTGCTTTGTTTGCCTGAGACTGTATCTTAGACCGCCCACTGTTGTACTGTGTGTCATCCTGGCTCAGTGATACCACTATTGCCTCTGAGTCAAAAGATTGGGGACTTGGAATCATACAGTTGAAGACAACACTCCAATGAGGTGTTGGGAGTATTACATTGTCAAAGGTGCTGTCCTTCAGATGAGACATTCAGGTGGGCGTTAAAGATTCCGTGGCGCTATTCACAGTCAATATACTTTACAGTATATCCTGGGAAGTGCTTTGAGACATCTCAATGACATGATAAGGCGTTATATCAAATACAAGGAATATTATTATAAATGCATTATTTCATTTTTTAAATTTAAAAGCAACTCTGCTTCTTTGCAGTGTTCCTCACTCAGGTGACACCGATCATTGCAACCCTGGTGGTAGGTACATGACTCTGATCCACTTTTTTTTGATTTAAATGAATTCATGTTGTGCATTTAACTGACTACTAGCATTGTAGATTGTGCTTGAGGTATATTACTGAGCGTGCAGCAATATTGTGTGATGAAACATTAGATTGATCACAAAGATTGCTGTGAGCTTCTATCTTCTCCCCGCGCCCCCCCCACCCCAACACACACATACTACTTTACCACAACAACACAGTTGATTTGCTAATCTAAGCCATGTTGTTGTGGGGAAATTCTGACTGGAAACTCCCTTCTCCCCCACAGAGAGGAAGGACATTTTTGATCATAAGATTTGTTTGGACGAAGAAGGCCTTTCAGCCCACTTGATCTCATCCTTCCAGAAAACCCACCCTATCCTGTTTCCAGCACAGTATCAAGCTGTCCAGCATCCTGTTCCCTTCCTGGCAACCCTTGTTCCATTCATTAATTACTCTCTAGGTAAAGAAATACTTCCTGGTGCATCTCCTGAAATTCCCCTTTTCAACTCTAAACCTATGTCCTTTTGTTCTACCATCTTGGTACTTCCTAAAGTATTAATATAAGTTTAATTTCTCAATCCCATTTATAATTTTACATACTGGAATAAGGGCTTAGCTCTTCAGTTTTAAAAACGGTTAACAATTGAAAGTAAAATATTTTGTAATATTTTCTCCCTCATTCTTCTCCCCCTCCACCCATCTTTTTCTTTTCGCCCCTCACCCTCTCCATTGAACTACCAGTGATCAAAGATCACAAATTAGGCTAAATGAATTGTCTTGATGCACACACAGCACAAAGTTCTTGCTGATCTGCACTTTGAGCCCTCAGGGTCCTGGATATTAATCTGGAAGTCTGAGTTAGAAGTAAGCTTGATTTTCAATGTAGTTAATGTGTGGAATGACAAAAATCCTTCGTGTTGCACTTTTGGCTGCCAGTTTGTCAGTTTGATAATCAGCCTTCGTACTGAGCTTTGTGAAGGGTAAAACATTAATTGTGACATTGCTATGTATGCACATAAAAAATGCAGCCACAGCTTTTGCTGCTGTTCAATCGTAATGTCCCTTTTAAGACCAACTGCAGATCAGTGCCAACTACCATTACCTTTGGCCTTTTCATATTCATGCCATTTGGCACTCAGTTGACATGCAGATGTAACAAAAGAATAATCAAAGTACTGTTTTCTTACAGTTTTGCTTTAATTCATTTTAGCTCAGATGCTAGATATAATGTGCATACGTCTTGTTATAGTCCTAGTTTCCGCAGCTTGGTAATTGGCCAAATTCCTGGTTCCTGTAATGTTCGTAAATATTTAGCTCTGTCTTTTTATAAACCAACCATCACAAATAAAAATAGTGATATTATTTTTTAATCTTGTCAAATAGACAGAAATCTGGACACAATATACTTTAAAACAAAAGCCGTTTAAATTTTTTCTCCCTCTCCCAAGCTAATTTTACTTTTAGAGCCAGGTTGCATATCCAAATTAAGTAAACTACATCTACTTTTGACTGCCACTCCAAATTACCTACTTTTCTTTCCCCCTATTTTTCCCTCTTTTCCTCCAATTCTCAATGCTACTCCCTCCTCGACTCAGAAATTCTCCTCCTTATCATCTTGCCTCTCCTCCTTATCCTCTCGCCTCTCCTCATAGAATCATACAGCACAGAAAGAGGCCATTCGGCCCATTGTGTCACCGCTGGCACCTAAAAGAGCAATCCAACTGGCCCGCTTTTTCTCCATAGCCCTGCAATCCTGTCCTCCCCAAATACCCATCTACTTCTCTCTTAAAAGTTGGTATTGTTTTCATGATGTTCTTTTTAGAGTCTTCTCATTGCTTTGTTCCTCACGCTGTTCGCCTAATGTCCCTCATGGAGATCTCCGGAACTTTCTCCCGGTATCCCTTTGCCTTGCATCTTCTCTCCCTGGCTTCTCAAGCTTTCTAAAAAACAGAAACCATCTATTTGACAGTGCCTTTGGTCAACATCCTAAAACCCCCTCTTACCACCCAACTATCTTTGAAAATCACTTTGAGAAGTGCTCCGGGATGCTACCCCGCGTGAAGGACGCGATATAAATGCAAGTTGTTGTTGTTTGAGATGTTATTCTACATGAAAGGCACTATTTAAGTACAAGTTGTCATATGTGATAGGCCCATTTTGCAGTTAATTATAGAATTCACCAATTTGGGTAAGAGTCTTGATCTTGCAAATTCCAAACTATGACTTGAAGAATAGCTGTGTTCCATTGATTTCATTTTTTTAAAAAAAAATTTTTCCCCTCTTTATAGGCTTTCAGCACTTACTCCGCTTTCACTGGGTCACCATTGACTGCTAACAAGGCATTTTCAGCACTGGCCCTTTTTGACAAATTTAATTCTCCACTTATTATATTTCCAGTGGTAAGTTACAGGCAACAGTTTGTTTTTCTAATATCAATAGTACAAGAATAATGTGTTGCTCAACAGCAAAAGGTAGGGAAGTAATTGATAGTTCATTCATATAGACGTGATTTTATTTTGGTCAGCCCTGCGTCCGACAATTGCGGAAACCCATCACCATATTTAAGATTATCCAAACCAGACTCAGAGTTGCATATATGCCATCTATACATGGAAATTTCTGTGGCTGGAATAGACATGGCTATGCACTCTCTACCTGAATGGACACACTGCTTACCCAATTCTGGAGAGTATTAGGTGCAGGTTAACAAGAGCCAAGATTTGGGGACCAAGTGTGTATTGGGGTAATACTGGAGTTTATCAGCTAAATCCACAAAGCTTCCATTGAAAGCATAGTCTGACATGCTTCCCTACTCCTAAGAGCTTTGGTTTACATGATTAACAGGAACTGAGTGGGAAGAATCCTTGCCTGTCTGCCCCTCCAAGTCCTGCCCATGAGCCAGGCTGGCTGGTCTCTTGTCAGCAGTTGTACCCTGTAGTACCGTGGACCCCCCTTATTTAGTAAAATAATTTATAAATTCTGCAGAGAATTATACAGTACACTGTTTCATTTGTTGGTATCTGTATTAATCAATATTCTTTCGAATTAACGAAAAATATTGCTGTCTAACTTTGTAGGATTGTGATAATTTGTAACCACTTAAATAACTTTACAAATGGATTAATCACAGCATTTACATAGCATTTTTATGTGAGAGTCTGTATAATACTTTATGCCCCAGTCAATGTGAAGTTGTAAACAAAGTTAACCAAGTGCTGCCATGTATCTCAAGGTTATGTGCCAAATACGCTATACTGATTCATGGGTGAGGTACTATTTTGAAAACCATGCACAGTTTTGATATTGTTGAGAGTGTTTTAGAAGAGAAATAAATGCTGAATTAGTAACAATCTGACTAAGTATTTAGCTGAAACATGAAAAATATTCATAGTAAGTTTCTCCTGATGTGCTGATTAACGTCCTCAAAATTGGTTATTTACCTTGTAGTTTATGGTTTCACAATGCTTACATAAATGGCTGCTTGTTTCCTGGCCAACACTTCAGATCTCTGTGTTGGTTTTACAAACCAATAGGTAAGATCAGGATCAGTGGCTGGATGCTTGAAATCAACTACTCTGTATTTCAAGTGGGTGACTATTAGGAAGGACAAGCAAAAGGGGTGCAAAACACTGGTTTGCTTGTATGGTTAATTCTCAAACTCAGATGGGTTGGCCCATGTGAAGGGCAACTCATGTAATGGGTTGGCCCATGTGAAGGGCAAAGATTGGCCCATGGGAAGGGGGCAACAACCTGAGGGCTAAGTGCAGCCACGTTGCTCTTGCACATCTATTTGCAGAAATTACCTTATCATTGGTCAAGGTCATTAGTCCATTCTTGACTTTTCAGGTCCAAATGGGCACTGAGTTATGGGAAAGCAGGGATGGATAGGCAGATGGACATATGTGATATTTATTTTCCAGTAGAAAAAAAATCATATTTAGTCAACATAAAAGCCACCTCTTTGTGGTTGCTTAGCATGTGATGATTTTCTTTTCCCCCCATAATTGTATACATCTACAATTTGGATTATTATCCCCGGAAAGCGATCTGCCAGTCGACTAACAAAAGGGTTCCTATTTACTGCTAGGTAAACAGAGGTGTGTGGCGTAAGGAAACTTGCCCAATGTTTCGCCCTACCCAGGAATCTGACCCAGGTCCTCTCACTTGCGAGGCGAGTGCTCTAACCACTAACCTATAGGACTCCAGAATGATCTAAATTCTCTCATATAAACTTCACCTAATCCCCATTACAAATCTATCCGTTAATGAATGATATATTATGGTAAGATTGTTAAGTCACTTGTGTTCCATTTATAATATGCCAATAGGGCTGTGTTGTGAGCTAGTTTAAACTTGTTGAAGTGGGTTAACTTAGGTAATTGAGCACTGCAACTAAGCTGTAGTTTTCTTTTACTGAAAACTCAAAACTGAACTGAACAATATTTTGTGACACCATTGTCAGAAATCTCCAGCATTTTTGAGTTTGTGACTTCATCCTGCAGTGATGTCAAACAACCTTCTTGTAGCACATTTACACTACATTTGCAGAAACAAATTGATGTCCAAATGGGTCGGTGCATTTTCACCATTTTTAACCCATGTTCCACTTGCTATACAGTATAAATATAGAATGTACAGGTACAAGTGAGAGTCAGGCTCATGGGGTGGGGGCTGGGGGTGGGAAGGGATCCTCCCTAAAGTTGCAGAATTGCACCTGTTTTCTGCAAAGCTGACAACCTCCAAATAATACGTCTCTTAAATATAGCCCAAGGAAAAACAAACTGCTATAGCAAGGTTACTAAAACCTAACTATTAATTACAATAAACATAGTAGTATGTCATGAAGTTCTTTTCAGATAGTTTAATAGAATTTTTTTCAAATAGGTTTCAAATTTTCAAATTTCAAATTAAAAATAGTTTTAACTCTTTAGGTAACTATTTGTTATTTTTCACAAATCCACAGATTTAGCATCTCCCTCTTTATAGAAAAATGGCTGAATCTTTACTGCACCCAAATATGTGCAATATTCTCCTTTAAGACTACAAAACTGCTAGACTGCTAAAGCAGCAATTTCTTTCACCAAGGCTACCGGCTATCGGAAGGGACCTATGCCTGCCTTGACTCTTCAGAAGGTTTTTTTTATTTTGGAGGACAGCAGGTCCAGTGGTAGGTGTTACGAGGCAACTAATCGCCCTTTAAAGTCTGAATGAATTAGTGCCACTTGCACATTCTGTGCGACAGCATGGAGAGCACTATGTAGAAAGAGAGGTACAGAGAAAAAATGTTAGTAGGCAGATTTTTAACACTTTTGTTACGCACCATTTAATCCTTCTGGCGGACAGATGGAAAGTCAAGCCTCTGGCCTTGACTTTGAAAGTGTAAAAGTATAACAGCACAAATCTGATTCTTCACATGTGAACATCCTTCCCCAGCCCCAGGTCAATTGAATGAGAAGTGAGAAGCATAATTTGTTGTCAGCACTTTAAATCTGCCTTGTCGAATCCCTTTAGTATCAATTTCCAGCTCTACAATTTGAAAGAAAAAAAAGTAAGAAATGTCCATTGTTGTGAGTTCTTATCTCAGCAAACGGGTTCTCTTCCTGCCCCCGCCCAATCATCTGCGGGGTACCCAAGGCTCCATTCTTGGCCCCCTTCTTTTCATCATTTACACTCTCCCTCTCAGCGATGTCATCTACAGACATGGGGTCAACTTTCACATGTATGCAGATGATAACCCAAATCTACTTCTCCTCCTTCTCCCAGTTCGCTGTTGCAAGTTGTTATTCTTATTCTGGACTATTTTTACCTCACTTTTGCTTGAGCAGCCTCCAATACCCTAATTGGGAATGTGGAGAATGAGATTAGATTAGGTGGTTCATACAGATCATTCAGCAAATTTGATGGTCTGAATGTCCTGTTTCTGTGTTGTAACATTCTATTTGATTTACTAGCACAAATCTTCATTGAACAAATCTTACTTTGGAATTGAATGACAAATATTAAAAAAAAATCATCTGGAATTGAAATTCAGCAGGGGTTTTAGTATCTTTTTAGAAAATAGTGGTGCTCAAAGACAATTTTGCAGGAGTCACAGCTTAATGTGCTTCTTGAAATCCTAATTTGGTGAGAAGGTTAAAACCAGAATCTAAAATTTACTGTATTTATGAGCATCTTTCTCCCAGATATTTGCCAGATATTCCATTTTCCATTCTCTGACAATTCAATCTGCAGTGGTTGCTGTCAGATGCACACGAGCAGGTGATGCTCCCCAGGTTCTTTTTCCCTTCCTCTCGAGCAATTCAGTGAAGTGCCTGGCCTGTACTGAGTTCCTCCTACTGACAACCTTGATAGTACCACTTCGTTATGCAGCACCATTTTACTGATCTGTCTTTGTGAGTTCAATGTGCAGTCTCAGCGGAACTTGACTTGGGAAGGAGGGGGGAAGATGGGCTCTGGGTCAACACAATGTGTTTTCTCCCAGACTGTTTCTGATCAGTTATTCAACAGAATAATAAGATACCTGGAGCTAATGTAGCATTTCAGAATGTGTAGCATTTAGCAATTTGTTGAATTTGTTGAAGCCTTTTTTCTGTAGATTTTAAAAGAATTTACAGATGACTGGCTTTAAAATTAAAGCCTATTTAAGAATTCTAGGTGCTCTGAAATGCTATATTAATAGAGGAAATCCCGATGGAATTCGGCTCCATTGATGTGTTTCGCTGGAACATTCAGGGAAACGTGTCAGCCTGGTTCAGTTGGTGCGTGTCAGCCTGGCTCAATTGGTAGCATTTTCACTTCTGAGTCAGAAGCTTATGTATTCAAACTCAGTGTCATATAGTCTGTGCTGACAATAAAGTGCAGTGTAGTGCTGGGGGTGTGCTGTATTGTTGGATGCGCCATCCTTCTGATGAGATATTGAACTGAAGCCCTGTCGACCTATTCAGGTGGATATTAAAGATCCCAGTGCACTACTGAAAAGAGTAGGGAGTTTCTCCTGGTGTCCTGGCCAACAATCCCCGAATAAAATTGATTGATTACTTCATAACTGTTTGTAGGACATTACTGTGTGCAAATCCCAGATTTCTAATCAGCGGCTTGGGAAGTCCTCCCGACGTGAAAGGCATATACAAATGTAATCTTGTTGTTGTTGTTCTAATTAAACTGCTTGTGTGTACATGTGGTGTAATTTGCTATTTGAGTATCTCTTATCATTGTTTGCATTTTGTCATACGTAATTCTTTGTACTCCTTTGTTTTTGATGTTTTAATTTACTTGTCAGATGTCGGCATCTAAGGTTGTGAGGAGGTGTAAATTCTTGTCTCACTTTGTTTCAGATTGTGAGGATGATTGTGAATACAGTACTTAGCACTCATCGATTAGCATCATACTTTAGCACAGATGAATTGAAGGGAATGGGGACGACATTTATAGAATCTAAAAAGGCAGATGAGCCCTTGCCTCCAGCCAAAAATGCAGACTTGTCTGTTGAGGTAAGAAGCAGTTATATTTCTATTTTTCTTAAGAAATTGTTATGATCAAATGCAAGGATTATTATGATTTTTCCTACAACAGTAACAACAACTTGGATTTATATAGCGCCCTCCACGCCAGACGGCGTCTCAGAGCGCTTTACAGTAACCTATCCTGGGACCGAGCCGGAGGGAGGGGGAGGAAGGTGACCAAAGGCGCGGTCAAAAAGAAAGGTCTTCAGCAGAGACCTGAAATGGGAAGGGAGGGAGCGAGACGAAGGGAGTGAGGAAGGCAGATCCAGAGCTTCGGGGCATAGTGGCTGAAGACACGGCCGCCGAGTGTGGAGCGGACGACTTGGGGGATGAGGAGGAGGCCAGACCCGGAGGAACGAAGGCAACGGGTACTGTTCTGAGGAGAGAGGAGGTCAGAGAGGTAGGGGGGTGCAGAGGAGTGCAGGGACTTGAATCCAAGAGTGAGGATCTTGAAGTCGATCCTCTCTGGGATAGGCAGCCAGTGCAGTCTGGCAAGGACTGGGGTGATCGGGGAGCAGAGTTTCGTGTGGGTGAGAATGCGGGCAGCAGAGTTTTGAATGATTTGGATTTTATGGATTTTATGGATGGTAGTGGATGGGTAGTGGATAATGCCTAATGAAATTAAGAGTTAATTTGGATTATGTTTATACCTAAATTCAAACAGAGGGAGCTGGTTGGATGAGTGGAAGGGGATCCATTATAATGGATTCATTTAGCATGGATAATCCAGATTTCATTGTTTGTCTCTTTAAGACCAGGATCAAAAAAAATTAAAATGGCAATCCCAGTAGAATGGTTTATATGGATAAAGTGCTAAGATGTCTTGTTCTGTGATTGGTTGAGTAAAATCTGCTTGCTCAATGTTTTTTCAAGGTTATGAGCCGAATCAAATGGGAAATATTGGACGAGTAGGTGTGTCAACCTGGCGAGTGGTAGAATATTGTGGGTTCCACCCCCACGTCAGGATTTGGAAACACATAGTCTAAGTTGACACACCAATGCAGTGCTGGAGGTTCCTCCCTTTGGATGAGACGTTAAACTGAGGTCCCATCTATGCTATATGAAATACAAGGATTATTTTTATTATGATGATTTGTGAGGAGCATAAAATCATTCTTTAAACAAAGTTTACATTGTATTCAGTTTTTAACTTCTTAAAATTACCCTTCTGAACAACAACAACTTGCACTTATATAGTGCCCTACATGCAGGGTAGCTTATCAGAGTGCTTACATCAGTGCTGTAAACATTTTGGAAATTTGAAGGAATGCTTTCATTTTGCTGAAGAGATGAAGGTGATGGGGGATTTATTTGGCAAATTAAATTTACTTCTGAAAGACTGTCCCAAGCACAGGTTAGTACAAAAGCACTTTCTCCGGAGGCCATTACAAATTGTCAAAAACAATTTAGTCAAGTGATTTATCTTCTCAATGTTAATTCGTTCCACCTGGCATCCAGTGCATTTCTCCTAAAGCTGAGCATTATAATTATAATCTTTGCATTTAATATAGCGTCTCATCATGTTGCAAGGCATCTCAAAGTGCTCCACAGGATATACTGTAAAGCAGCGTGACTTTGTGTGTTTTGTGAGCGAACCACATTTTAGCTAATTGTATTATCAGAATTAGGGTACGAGTTTCTCTTATACTCAACACGGTGCATTAAGTCAATGCCATGAGAATATTATTCAAGTAGAGAACCAATTGGCTGAACTAATTTGGACTGGCTCATTGTGGATGAGGAAACCATATAGATAATTAGTCTTCATTGAAAATACAAATTGTCTAACTAAACATTGTTAATTGGGGAATTATTACAGGTGATGTCACAGAAGTACCATATTGCTTCTGTCCACTCTGTCTCTCTGTCAGTCTGTTTCAACACCAACTTGCATTTATATAGCTCCCTTCACATGGGGTAGCATCCCGTAGCGCTTCTATCCCCCTCCCACCCTCCCTTGACGCAACATCCCCTCCCCACTCTGCAATTCCCCCGACCCCACCCCCCATCAAAAACATAACTCAGTTAAAACTTAAAAAGGAAGTGCATAAGGTTACGAAGGGGAGCAATTGTGTGCAATTCAGCCTCAGGCAAATGAATGCAACTTCTCTCAGTCCCATCTCTTAGTTTCAATACAGATAATTGTATGTGAATAATTGACATTGCACAGCAATACTTACATTTGATAGAACACCTTTAAATTCAAAGTGTCTCAAAGTACGTTATGTGTAGGGGATTGAGAGCATGTGGAGTCGAGCATGGATGGGGGTGATAGGCTCACAGCCTGATGGGGAGGGTATGTGGACTATAGATTTCTGAATTGGATGCTGCGTTCAACCTACAAAATACACAGTATCTACATGTTAGAGTAAATCGTGTGAAGTACTTTGAGATGTCTTTCCAATGTGAAAGGCGCTGTATCAAATACAAGAATTATTAGTAGTATAGGATTATTTTTTAGTTTTTAAATGTATTTTACTTTGGAACTGACTGAATGAAACATTGTTGGTCTTTTCTGACCATGTGAGTTAATAATAATGAATAAGCCTTACATTTGATATGGCACGTATCATGTCAGAAGGACGTCCCAAAGAGCTAAATAGAATGAACTGTAAAATGTGTTTTGTAAAATGTAAAAGACTGTGTTTTGTTTGCAAATGAGGCAGTACGTTTGTGCATAACAATGCCGCACAAACAGCCTTGTTTGTGAATGATCAGTTTTGTTTGGGTTCTTGTGTTCTGACGAGCAGTAGTCTAGCTTTATTTGGTGCATGAAGGAATTGTTGCAAATCTTTGTCAAATTTCCCTTGACAGCAAGTTCAATTGGAAGATGAAACTATACCCGAAAATTCTACAAGCCGTTACCAATCTGCGGATCACCCAGACGAACCACAAAATAGCTTATTGAATAATCATTCCAATAACGCGAAGCCAGAAGAAAGCACAGTAGATGATGTAGAAAATCCTACAAACAGGTAAATTGATTCTTGATTTAAGACTGGGATGAATTCTCGTCAGGATAAATCTGAAAGTCAGTTAGTTATATGTTTGTTTGTTTCTTATATAAAATGTGGATAAAAATTTAAATCAATGTATATACCATATTTCTGTGAGTATTCTTCCTCTCCCCCCAACCCCGAAAACAGAAACATATTAATCTTCTCTTTCAGTTAATTAGAGCAAAATCTAAAACTTGCAGATTTTGCTCTACTAATAGAAAGAGAAGGTTGATATGTTTGCAACTTGCAGAACATTTTAAATTCTGCACTTCGAATGGATTGTGCCAAAATGTCAGCATAAACCGTCACTGTCGTTAACATTCTGATATGTAACATTGCCTCTTTTGTCATCTTATGTGTTGAATGCACTATATTTTATTTTCATCATATAAATAGCGGGCAGTAAAATGATTTAACTGCAGTTATCGATCATAACTTTCAGATTAAATATAATTCTGTGAAATTATCAGTCCATTTTGTTAAGCAACCCATCCAACATAGAAATTCATATAGAATTGCAAAAAAAAAGATTTCTTACACTGGTTAACTAGTCAGGCAGCAAAGACTCAATTCTGTCTTCATAAATAACATTATGTGAGTTGTGTTTGCACCTCAGCAGTTCTAACACGATGGTGTAGCTTGTAAAAAGATTGTACTGTAAGTTGGTCTTGCTTTCATGTAGCAAATTTGTTACAGGCAGCAAATGGAGCAATGTGATCAACATACTTTACTTTTGCGAATTTGATAACGGTTCTGAAGCTCTTTGATGTGCTAATTCAGAACATAGAGGTGAAATGTGCAGTGTTCCACAGCCCAATAGATCCTTTGATGTTTAATGCGAGTTTATGCACAAATTGTAGAAGTTTCAATTTTTGCTATATATTCCAATGGGGGAGCCTCCTGAGCTTTTGGCCTTTTCTCAACTGAATTGGCTAAATGTATTTATGTTCATAAATCTATTAAATTCATGCAATAGAGCATTGACGATTTTCAATTACTTATTCACTTAATTTCTATATACAGAAATGGGTTCACCAATGCTAACAACAGGCAGTTCTGATATATATTTAACTCAAGCCTCTGACTTATGAAATGTATCCCAGGTTTAAATCAGAACTGACCAATGAAAAAGAACCTTTTTAAATAGTTCTGACTTTTGGAGTATGTGTGTCACTGAGAAACTCCCCAGTGAACCAGCTAAACAGTGCAGGCATGAAAACTGTGCGATTAGGAAGTGTTTGATTCTAAAGTGTTTGATCTTTGCTGCAATAACACAGAATTTGGAAGTTTGTTTGCCTCTTAAGGCAAGACTGAAAAACAAATAGGTTTAAAACATAGGCAATTTTTTGCAGTTGTAGACTCATAATACAGTATGCCAATAATAGCAGACAGTGGGAAAATTTTTATAGTCTTCTAATTTGAGACATGATGAGTGCAAAGATCACTCAGTCTGATGGAAAGAAATCAGCTGGGGAATTCTTTATTAATCCATGTTAGTCTGACGAACAAAGGAGTTGATTCTAATCCAACTAAAACAATGCAGATAGTATTATTAAACATGCTCATGTCATGCTACATAACCATAGGCTGCAATTCTTTGGACAAGGGATTAAAAATATAATGGCTTAGTCTATGTGCCAAATATTGCTAAAATGTTAGTTAATCGAAGGGGGGCAAATTCAGAACAAATCTGCGGAAACACTAGTTCAGTGAACAAGTAGTAAATTTATGGAACAGACTCTCCAGGGAGACAGTGGAAGCAGAAAATGTTGTTTGTTTCAAGAACAAATTAGATCCATTTCTGCTAGAAAATAATATCTCGGGATACAGTATATAGTTTGGGACACAATGTGTCAAGCGACTGCCAGGAAGACGAACTAGATGGACCATGGTTTTCTTTCGCCTCGCAAATTCTTATGTTCTTATGGTTTGCCTTCCAGAATGTCACAATGATTATTATTACGTGCCATTTTGTCCATACAGCTCACTCCACATCCATACATCAATTGCAAAATACAATACAATACAAAATTACATTTTATTGACTTGTATTGCACAAATATGACTGTTTCAGGCATGTTTTCAATTCAAATACTTTTTATTAAAAATCTGTGCTTCAAATAGTTTACCCCTTAGTCCTCCAGCAATCCTGTTCCCATGGGCTGACTGATTCAGTATGCTTTGAATCCTTCATTGTGTTATTTAGACATACTGATATTACTATAGTATCGAACATGCTAGTTTTTCAGGAGCAGAATTGTTCACGTAAAAGTTATAAAGCTATAAAGCTGATGAGCAATAACCTCAAACTAAACTAACACAAGGTTAAATATTTCACCTTTAGTCATTATCTTATACTTGTGACCCTGGTTATGGACTCCCATCCAGTGGAAACAGTCTATTTATTGTAACCTTATTGAACCTTTTCATAATTTTTAAACACCTCTATTAGGCAATGAAGTGGAGGCAGGGTGAATTTATCTTTATTGTGCAATAAAAGTTGCAAATAAACAGTCTACTGAGGCCAGCTGTCCCCTTAACTGGGTGTAACGTCACTTTCTTGTCTGTAGAATCGCAAAGTGTTCTGATCTCAAGGGAAGGAAGTACAAAATTAGAACAACAGTTTGGGAACTTATCAGCACTTGGTAGATTCAGATGGTGATAAACAGTGATCAATTTGGGGAGAGGAGCAGAAGCTTGAAGAGCGAATTCGGCATGAAAAAACTTATTATTTAGTTATTGGTCAGAGAGGGATGGAGGTTTCTTGTTTTCTGTTGTAGTGAAGATGAATATTGTGCAGAAGGTGCAAGGTAATAATAATAATAATCCTTGTGTTTGATCTAGCGCTTTTCACGTCTTCGAGGTAGTAATCTGAAGCGATTTCTATTAGTGAAGCTTACAGTACCACTTTAAAGGACCTCTGCTTTCGGTTAATGGTAGCCTATTGTTGAGTTGGTGTGACACATTATTTTTTCCTGCAGGAGGCATGGTTTACATTGGGAAGCAGTTCAATAATGATACTGCTTATCTTATGCGTGATTTTGTAACCCAATTACTGTATATAGTGCCCTTGAGTTAAAGACTTTTATAAAAGGTGAAATCCAAGAGAAATTGGTCCAGACCTTTTTGTTAACAACGACTTGGATTTATATTGCGCACTCCACGCCGAACGGTGTCTCAGAGCGCTTCAAAAAGAAGCTTTGAAAAAGAATTGCTGAATCATTTTTGTTAACTATACACAAAATATCACTATAAACCATATTTTTTCAAAGAAAAATTGGATACACTATTAGTATCAACAGCAACAACTTGCACTTATATAATACCCTCCACGCAGGGTAGCGTCTCAGAGCGCTTAACAGCGGGAGAGCCTGACTCCAAGCCGGGGGAGGGGGGAGATGGCTGTGAGGAAAGTTTTCAGTTGGGACTTGAAAGAGGGGAGAGGGGGGCCAAGGCCGTGGATTGAGGAAGAGTGTTCCAGAGTTTCAGGGCGCAGTGGCTGAAAGGAGGCGCCGGATCATGGATTGGGGAGTGAGGAGGTCGGAGAGGTAGGAAGGTGCCAGGTAGTAAATGGATTTAAACACAAATGTGAGGATCTTGAAGTTGATCCGTTCGGTGATGGGGAGCCAGTGGAGCCTGTCCAGAACGTGTGAGATATGACTAAGAAATGTCAAAAGAGCTGCTTCAGTGAAACGTTTAGAGAGATGAATGAATTATACTCCTTGAGAAATATCTCGAGATATGATCGTACTGGGTTCGTGGACAATACACCTGCATAAAATCGATTGCAAAGGAATGCAGATAAATTACATTTGAGCTTTGGGACATAAAATGCACAAGCCATATTTATTAACCAGTAATTTATCATTGATGTACTGTTGTATGGAATTCAAAGGGAGAAAAAGTACTGAATGGAATGTGGATATTTTGATTGTTTAACAATGTGAAGCTGATATTAACTAATTTATATCTGCAGGATACAAGTTATAAAAGTCTTTATACAACTGCTAGGTGTGGTAGAACGTTAGTTCTCCACATGGCAATTATCTGTATGATCATTTATCCACAACTCCTGCTGATATGATGGGATTGACTGTTTTGATGAATTAGTATAGATTAAGAATTATTACCTATTTGTTTTGGAGGGTTGTAACAGTAAATACAGAGGAAAATAGCGCAAGGTTTGGGTGAAGGCCCTTTTGGTCCATTTGATCTCATCCTTCGAAAATAGTTTCCCCCCATTATTACAGAGTCTTGGGAAATGTAATGTATTTGTGCACCGGGATGGTTTTCTCCTATGTTTTAATGCAGTCTTCACAAATAGAAAAGTATGCACATCATAATAAGATGATCATAATAGTAATGCCTTACTGTGGAACAAAAATTATAACTGGCAGAAGTATGGGATCATTTTACAAATAAGAGAGCACCATAACAAAGTTCTGGAAAAACCAAAATAATTAGGTGGCCATAATCATATCAGATGATACTTTTGCTTTATAAAGAAGCAGTGTTCCCCGTGGGAAATAAAATCGTCTTGTGATTTGACTGAATGTGTAAACCTTCAACTCGTGACTATCCAAACCCTCTCTGTTTTGTCGCTTGAGGGCTCTAATGGTTGGTCATGAGTTGTATTATTTTTAAAATCTATTAGCGGGTGCCTCATATTCTCCAGATTTTCAATGGCATAAGTTTTTTTTAAAAAAGAAGTTTTTTCTATCTTCTTGAATTGAAACAAAACTCCCAAGATGGAAAGCTTAACATTTCCTAAAGCAAAAGCTTAAAGTATTTTTTAGGATTACCATCATCCTGAATGTTGTTTGGTTATATGTCATATGATGTTACAACACAAACAGGATTTCACCCTAATTACAAATCTGCACTGGTATTTATTCTCACATTAGTAATGTAATTCTCCAGTTAGCTCCCAATTCTTTTAATATTCCTTCTCCTCAAGCTTCTATCTAATACCCTTTTAGAAAAACTTAGGGACTCTGCCTTACCACCATCTGTGGCAAAGAAGTCCCCATTACAACCCTCACTATCTAAGGCTTTTCCATATCTTCCCTTTAAATTTTTTATGGCTAGTTCAAATTTTTACAACAAAAATTGGTTACGTTTTAATAAATAAGTTTCTTTATATATAATTGTGCATATGCAGATAGCATGTATGCTATATGCTACAAAATAGTCACAGTCAAAATATAAAATATGTTTACCCACAAAATATAGAGTCACTACACTTTAAGGTAAATCCCAAGAAGCTCTGAAATATCTTCCCAATGTGAAAGGCACTGCATCAAATGCAAGGATTTTTAAAATTCTAATGATTAAACATAACAGCAAAAGCTAGTACGGTTATAAGGATATTTAGTTTACTGAAAAATGCAGGAGGCTTATATTTGTATTGTTTGGATGAAAATTTGTTAAATAACAAATGTATATGGATACATTGTGAGGTGAGTATTGTATACTCGTGAGTTAATGTGATGGTAGCTGCTGTTGTCGATTTTGTTGAACACCAAGCACCTCAACGAGGCAAATTGGATCAGGAAAGTGGAAATGGAGGATCGATGAATATGCCAACTGGATAAACCAGGTCATCACAGGCAGCATTCCCTTCAGGCACATGTCAGAAATGTTCAGAATGATGATCCTGCTGTTACTCTCTCTCTTGCCATTTATCTTTCTCCTAAAGACATTTCTTTCCTTCACCTGAAGTATAAGTCCACAGGTGCTGATTACCCAAGTTGCAATTACTCATGTATTTGACTGCAGAGAGCTTCACAACTTAACCCAAACCTGTTGTCATGCAAATTCTACACGCATGCACCTCCAGCAGAAGAATAGCTATCTGGACACTGAGGTGCCGCAGTGGTATTTCCACTGAACCCAATTAACTCAAGTTCAGATTCTTCAGTCTTGTGCATGTGTTAAGCTCCATAAAGTGATAACTGGCCGTAGAAAATGGCAATTTCAAACAGTTTAATGTTCAATTTCAAGGCATTAGCTTGTTAAATGTTCAGGCATTGCAGGGCATCAGCTCAGCCTTAACACAGATTCAAGGAGTAATTCGGACAATCTAATCCAGGATATATTGTAAAGCTAAAATGATTATTAAATCATTGCTTCACTCTAATACTGACTAAATACTTTACCAAAAGAAATGTTATCTTTCCTCTGCCTGTTAAACGGTATGATTAAGGGATCTGCTCAGGGACAAATGGAGATTGAGTTCTACTTGAATGGAGGCTCTGTTTTTTGTCGATGTGCTTTCCACTGTTTCTGATCGACTATTTACAGTATATCCTGTGAAGCACTTTGAGACAAATCAATGACATGTCAAATTCAAGTATTATTATTAAAAGGAACATCTTTTAATTAAGTGGTAACTTGGATTTTATCCCTTATTAGAGTTTCACTCTTTTCAGCATCACTATAAATGGGTTCCGTTAAAATGTTTCATGATTTCTATTTGAGAAATTACAAGTCTTACTTTTTTAATACATTAATCAGTATTTATCTTAATTATTGTCCAGTTTTAATGTCTGTTCCTGAGTGTGTGACCGGGTCATGACATCCTCAGCCGCTAACTTCAGACTTGTCTTGTGTTCAGTTAGGAAGAAGGTGGGTATAAGAATTAATCTCCATGTGATCAGGATCAGACTACCTAATCTGCTCATTTCAGTCTTCAAAACCTCTTAATGGTATTCATGTTTTGACATGAGATTAAGTTCAGATTCTGGACCTTTTCTGGTGTCATTCTCTTCAATTCTTTGCTGTCAGCTTAACTCAGTTGGGATCACTCTCACTTATGAGTCAGAAGGTTGCGGATTCCAACACCACATTGAAACATGAGCTCATATCCCTGGCTGACCCTCCAGTGCAGTACTGGGGGAATGCTGCATTATTGGAAGTACTATTTTTTTCTTTCAAATAAGACAAATTCTGCACTTGAATCTTAGGCAGCCTTGCAACTATATAACAAGGGATGAAGGTTTCTCACATTGATGTTATCTGCTTCACAAATTGGGTGAAGTTGTGGTTGAGTGTTGGATATGATTTGGATTTATCTTCTGCAAGTGAAAGATGACTCTGGGGATTCCAAGGGGAATGGTCTGGACCCCAAGACAGATTCCTTGCCAATTCACAGGTCAACAACTGAAAATAAAATATCTGGAACTTTTTCTTTTTACATATTCTTGTGATTAAATGTAAATGTACACTTTTTGTGTACAGTAGCTTCAGAGATCCAAGAGGGGTTAACTGGGCCAATTTGTTTAATGATAAACAATAAATGAAAACTATCGCAGATATTTTTATTTGATGGAGCATTTATTGTTTCTTTATCTACAAAAAAAATGGAAAGCAAGTATGAAACATTTCTTGGAAGTAATGAATGATGCATTAATATTATACCAAGGGCAGAGAAAATTTTTCCTAGCATTTATTTGATCCAGCTGTCCACTATATTGCCATTTGATAAGATAATATTGGAATCTTTAACCATGCCAAGTTATGTGTAAAGTAAATGAGTAGTCTGATATCCTTGTTATAACTGCCGTGCTGAATCACACCAGGCTTTGAATCAGTAAAAGCAGATTTAATGAGGAGAGTTCAATACTGTACCAGGATGGTCCAACTGGACTGATTTCCTCCAGAACATAATCTCACTGTGTGTCCCAAACCCAGTCTGACCCAGCAGGAAATACAGCAGCATGAGGCAGCGGTTAGCAGCACAGCCTGTCAATTACTTTCAAACCAATAACAGACCAAGAGAGACAGATACGGAGACACATAGAGGCATACAGACTGAGTAAGAGAGCTGCAGAGACACACAGACAGAGATACAGAGATGCAAACGACAGAGCGAGATAGAGATGCACACAGACCGAGTGAGATACATAGACGCACACAGAGAGAGAGGTACAGAAATGCAGAGAGAGAGAGAGAGAGAAGTACAGAGACACATACAGACAGAGAGAGATAGAGACGCATACAGACAGAGAGAGATACAGAGACGCACACAGACAGAGAGATACAGAGACGCACACAGAGAGAGAGAGAGAGAGAGAGAGATACAGAGACGCACAGAGAGAGAGAGAGATACAGAGACGCACACAGACAGAGAGATACAGAGACGCACACAGACAAGAGAGATACAGAGACGCACACAGACAGAGAGAGATACAGAGACGCACACAGACAGAGAGATACAGAGATGCACACAGACAGAGAGAGATACAGAGACGCACACAGACAGAGATACAGAAATGCACACAGACAGAGATACAGAGACGCACACAGACAGAGAGATACAGAGACGCACACAGACAGAGATACAGAGACACAGACAGACAGAGAGAAATACAGAGACGCACATAGACATAGAGATACAGAGACGCACACAGAGAGAGATACAGAGACCACACAGAGAGAGAGAGAGATGCAGAGACGCACAGAGAGAGAGAGAGATACAGAGACGCACACACAGAGAGAGTTACAGAGACACACAGAGAGAGAGATTCAGAGACGCACAGAGAGAGAGAGATACAGAGACGCACACACAGAGAGAGATACAGAGACACACAGAGAGAGAGAGATTCAGAGACGCACACACAGAGAGAGATACAGAGACACACAGAGAGAGAGAGATACAGAGGCGCGCACACAGAGAGATACAGAGACGCATACAGAGAGATACAGTGACGCACAGAGAGAGATACAGAGACACACAGAGACGGAGAGATAGAGACGCACACAGAGAGAGATATCTCATCGCTGGTGGCATTCTTTTAAAATTTGTATGAATTTTTCCATTGCCTATTTAAAGTTTGCATTGTAACTAAAATATAGTGAAATTAAGTAATGCAGTTACACAATGTAAAACACATGATTTCTATATGATTCTTATGGGTTATGTTTCTGGAATGGAAACCCATCAACGACGCTTATGTGGCCCGCAGACATTTCTCAAATCCAGCATCCAGCCTTCAAGCAGCCAAATGGTTGGACCACCTTGGTCTAAACTAAATGATCCTAAAATCCCAACAGGGAGCTTGGAGCTACAACGTTCTGACTCAGAAGCAATAGTTTTACAATCAGAACCAGGCAGACAGCCAATGAGAATTTTTTTTAAAAAAGCCTTCTGAACTGTGCTCACCAAGGAATGAGGCAAGTGGAGATACTATCCCAGATGACACAGAGGCAGAACGGTTAGAAGTAGTTGACAGACTTTTAATTGAATCATGTTATGTGAAAGAATTGCATATTTTGATAGTCATGTGCTTTGATTTATTTTATAAATGGCATTACTTCAAAAGGAAAAATATCTTTATGACTTGGACATAGAAGAATGTAGTTTTCCTGAATGGGTTTTGTTTGTTTGCAATAGATTTATCAATGTTCAGGATCTAAAAAAAAACACTTTGTTGCTATAGAATGTTTTGTATAGGTGCTTGAATGTCATAGATGCTATTAAAAATAAACTATACAGCGGTTAATAGACAATGGAAACATTTATGTGAATTAGACAATTGCTCGGATGTGGATTCATGAACCAGCAGAAAGTTGCTAGTTAATCGGAACACACAACTGGTGGCTTCTACTTCTTGACGTTTAAGTAATGTGCCTTCTTTCTGTTCTAGCACAGCCAATGCCCTGGAGATCACAAATGGCAGTTTTGCATGGAGTAGCAATTCAGAACAAATATGTCTTCAGGATATCTCAACAAAAATTCCTGAAGGCAAAATTACCATTCTTGTAGGCAAGGTGAGAATATCTACAAATAATTTTGATTTTTAGTCGGAGTGACTCAGTTGCTATGTCCAAGAATGTTATTTTATCGTGATACTTGTATGGAACAACATTTAAGAACTCCCTGATTCACTCTGAGGGTAAATTAACTTTGCTACTATGTTGTTTGGTGGAGATGAGGAGGTGTGAATCTGTGGACTGCATTGGGTTTACCAGACAAGTCCTGGGGAAGCAGTAGGAAAAAAGCAGTGTCCCTGTGCTACGTAAGAAAATGCATGGAAATTGTGTATGGATTGGAACAAGCTCCCCCACAACGCCTGCTGTGGCTTACTATTTAGGACAATGCATTTGCAATACTCCTTTAGTTGACGTATTTGAGGGCTGTCGTAAAAATCTGTCCAACCCATTTTTAAACAATTCCATGGTTATTGAAATTTTATATTTTTTATTGGGTGATAACACAGGGCATAGCTAGAAATTGTAACCAGGGCCTAATGCCTGTAATTCAGAGCCTGATGCCTGTTGAACAATTGCAGAGGTTCAATCCAATTGGCGATGGTTCAGCGATAATTCATTTTGTCCACTTTAAGACACTAAGATCCAAAACACTTCCAGTTTTTGAGTTCCTTCCAGGCAAATGCTTTCTGGCAGAGTTCACAGTACAGAGAAGTAGTTTGTGAAGCTTTATCTGTGGCATTCTGAAGTATTGTCTACCTGCTACAGGTATCAGCAACTCTTGTGGTGCTGCTCCAAGCCAGTCTTGTAGAGGGCTAGCAGCTCCACATCAATTGCATCCTTTTTATTGACTTTGCTGCTCTGCAGAACACTCTCTTCTGTTATTTTCTCTCCAGACAGTTATCTTGGTACTAGGTTATCCTGGTCTTTTATTCTGACCTTTACTTTTCCCCACACACACACTTGTAGTAGAGGAAATACTGAACTGTTTAATGTATCTGCACAATTTGATGGCTTTATTTTAAGCTACGAGTTTCAATCTGAAGTGCATTGGACTTGTGTTCAACAAGTGACTACGCCAGACTACGCCATTACCTCATCCCTCACGCTGCTGAAACCCTGGTTCACGCCTTTGTCACCTCAAGGCTGGACTATGGGAACTCTCTCCTCGCCGGCCTTCCCGCCACCTCCCTCCACAAGCTGCAGGTCATTCAGAACTCTGCAGCTCGTGTACTGTCCCGCACCAGGCTTCGGGACCACATCACTCCCACCCTCGCTCGCCTCCACTGGCTCCCCATCCCCCAGAGGATTGATTTCAAGATCCTCATCCTCACCTACAAGGCCATTCACGGCCTTGCTCCCTCCTACCTCTCTAACCTACTATCCCCCTACCTACCTGCCCGTACCCTCCGTTCCTCCGGCTCCGGTCTGCTCCACGTCCCCCGCCCCAATCGCCCTACCATTGGTGGTCGGGCCTTCAGCCCGAGGCTCTGGAACTCCATCCCCCAGTGCCTTCGCCTTGCTTCCTCCCTTTCCTCCTTCAAGGCCGGTCTCAAAACCTTTCTCTTTGACCGTGCCTTCAGCTCCCCTCTCGACTCTCTTCCCCTTTCTCGCTCCCTCCCATCCCTCCCCTCACCCTGACCATTTCCCCCCTCCTCGCTCCCTCCTTTCCCTCCCCTCACCCTGACCATCTCCCCCCTGCTCGGGTCATGACCCAATTGTGCAGCGCCTTGGGACGTCCTCCTGACGTGAAAGGCGCTTTATAAATGGAATCTTATTGTTGTTGTTGAATGAAACTTTTGCACTTCATGCTCTCGTCGTATCAGTAAAGAGGCTCCTTTTTAGGCGTGGGTTTAGTTCGAGTTTGGTTGTGACTCATTGCAGCTAAACCTGGTTTCTGAAAGACATCTTTGTTCTTCATCTCGGGAAATGTTATCATCATGAGCTCTCATTGCACTGCTCTCTGTCCTATAGACCCTCAGTCTGTCACCCACTGCAGTGAAAACTCTGTATAACTGGGACCATGCTCGAAACAGTACTCAGAGTAAACCATTCATGCTGTTGGATTAAAAGGGAAATGTTATTTATAATACCGTTCCCCTATCCTCCATTACTTCCATGTTTACTGATTGCATTGAATCATGGGAATTTGCGTCCAGACCCGTCGATGCATGCACAGTTATCGGCCGGCTGCATTGAATTGCGGCAAACATATGCGCAGAAGAACTTCATTTTCTGTGGTTCCAATGTCAGTGAGGCTATGGATCAAGACAAATTTGAACCACGAGAAATGTAGTTTGGATCTGTCACCATGTGTGCATTTACTGGCTGCAGTGACAAACTACCACATGCTCACTTACCAGCAACAGTGGCGAATTAGCCCTTGCACACTTACCGTCTGCATTGAATTACACATGTGCAGTGTAGATTGATTAACTTATACAACTTTGCCTGTAACTCTGACTTTGCATAAATCATAGTAAATTGTAATGATCTTGTTTGATATGACTTATGTGAATTTTACTATATATTTATTTTAGGGCCCTATTAAATAGCACCAAATTTTAATCCTTCTCTAAACATTGCAAACTATATGGTTCTATATGTGCATTCTGTTTAGTGGACTGTTTCCACATGCATCACTTGCATTGCATTTTGCAGGATTTCCTAACCCTTTCCATGTTTAATCCATGTAGCCTGGTACAGTGTGATATTGATTTCACTGGACTGCAGGTTCAGGTGCTAAATAAATTAGATGGGATTCGCAATTTGCTTTTTCCTAGGGTAGTCTTACATTGCCAACCAGTTTGATACATCTGTAGGATAATTTAACTTACTGGCTTGTAAGTATTTCCAACAGGCTTCCAACTATATGATCTTGCTGTTTGTTCAGGGACTCTGCAGTCTCAAAGGTTAAATTGGTTGAAGTCAGTGTAGGAAGGCGCTCTGAAGAGAATCCCCAGCAGATGATTATTTTTTTTTAACTAATAATTTCATGCAATTTTTAATGCATGCCAAATATGCATGTTTAGTCTCACATCCAGTGATGTTTCTTGAGCTGTCACATCTGGACAAATCAGTCAGAGATAAGCTTTGAGATAATTGGAAGGTGCTTTCATCTTAAAAATATTTAACACCTAAGGCACTTGTAAAATGACTTTGACAATAATTGGCTAAAAATCCTGGGTTTTACAGTTTATTGCACACTGGAGGGAGTGCCTCGAGGTTAACATATTTAAAGTCCATGAAAGTTGTTTTTTGCCCACACAATAAAATCCCTGGATTTTGTTTCACCAAAATCAGACATGAAACCTGCCTCTATGGAATGCTGTTTGTGGAACCGGCTACCGACCCGTCTGTGCAGTGGGATGCACGCGTTTCCAGAACCGGAAGTTCAGCGAGGTGGATAATATCCACACGCCATCACAAGCACCAAATAAAATTGGCAAATTAATTTTTTTAAAATGAAATTTCCAAAATTCACTTGACTTCTAATTAATCTCAATCTGCAAAATACTTTGAAAAATTTATTTTATGTCAAAGGTATACTATACAAATATACATTGTTTTATTCAAGTACTACTGAACTACCACAATTCAAAATGTATTTAAATGATCAGTATGAATTGCTTTCACTTTTTCAAGCTAATTTGTTCTGAACGTTTGTTAATTTAAGGTTGGCAGTGGAAAAACTTCACTGTTGTCTGCCATGTTAGGAGAAATGACAACCGTTTCAGGCAACGTGAAGTGGGCAACACCTAATCAACCAATAGCATACTCTGCACAGGCCGCTTGGCTGAGAAATGCCTCTTTACAGAACAACATTGTATTGGAAGAAGAGTTTGATGAGGAGCGTTTTAATATGGTCATTGATGCCTGTGCTCTTCAGCCAGATATTGATATTCTGCCAGCTCGTGAACAAACAGAAATAGGTGAAAAAGTAAGTCTGTTACCTGGGGTCAATAATTGTTCTTGTGCAAAGCATTTGCATAGTGCACGTGCCATACAGTTACTAAATGATGCAAATCTGAGGCCAGAATTTCCACCTTGGCCCACCCAGTAAGACCATTCTGTCTTAAAATGGAAGATCGATGAAAATTTACCAAATCTATCTTGGTAAGATGTAATTTTTTAAAAAAAAATTGGACACTCAATCCATGACTGCTTGTGGGACACTGTTGTGTGCAATTAGCTGCTGCGTTTTGCCCACAAAATTTACAGTCAATTCACTTTTACAGTATATTCTGTGAAGCACTTTGGGATGTCTCAAAGATACGATAAGGCGCTGTATCAAATGCAAGGATTATTATAAATTTGAAGAAGTTTGCACATTTACTTTAAAAGTTGAAGCCATGTCTGCCTTTCAAAACTTTTTTTTTTGGTGAGGATGAACAAGGCATGAAAGGATACCCATCCAAATAATTTCACGTTCAGTATTTTTAATCGCTAAAACAAATGGATAGGTGTGGGAGTAAAATTTGTGTGTGGTGATTTTAGCATGTGGGTGGAAATAATTCATCCAGAATTTTGATTTGCACTTCACATGTGTGAGAGAGGAAATGGGAGAGTATGGGAGGGAGTAAAGAGCGGGTGAAGATTCGTGTGGAGTATACGACTGGCACAAACTGTTTCCATTCTTTGTAAATCTTCTAAAAATGTATGAAGAAAATGGGATGTGTATAATACATGGTGATGCTCGACAGAATATCATTTATATAGGATGATGGAGGATTCAGGATGATGCAAATAGTCTTGAATAACGTGTAACCTGAATATACTCCAAGCCAGTGGGTTCAGATATTGTAAACACTAATGGCATATCGGTGCTTCATTGTGGCAACTTGCTTGTCACTGCTATTTCAGTTTGTTCACTGGGGAACCATTCTGTTACTAACTTAATTTAGTCCATTAGTCTACCATATAAAGTTGAAATAATTGGATATTTGGGTATTGTTGTGAGCAAAAGACTCTTCAAATGGAATCATAAAACACTTATGGTGCCCTTTCCCCCTTCCCACTTCCTGTGTACAGCATTATTGCAATCTTTCCTATGGATTTTTCAGGGTATTAATCTGAGTGGTGGCCAGAAACAGCGAGTCAGTGTGGCACGAGCTCTTTACTCAAGGTATGTTGCAATGGAATAGTTCTGTTTTCTCTAATTAACAACAGGAAGTTTTACTGAAACAAGATAACTCCGGGATTATTCACTTCCCAGTACTTTTACTTCTCAGGTGCTTCTTATTAATAAGAAACTAAAAATTTGCAAATATTTGAAATGAGAACAGGTGTCTTGTAACATTGCTGTAAGCAAGTAAGCTTCTGGTTTAGGTGCAAAATACAGTCACTAACAGTAAATCCTGCGAAGCACATTGAAATCTTACCCCCACAAACGTCATCTCCACCCTCCGGCATATGAAATGTAAGGATTATTTTAGAATGCTGAAATTCACAGAAGGTTGAAACTGAAAAAGAAAAATAGATTAATGTTTTTAATAAGACCAGTTCTGATGATGTGTCACCTGAAATAATCATTCTCTAATCAGTCTCTTTCTGTTGCTGATTGAGTTACTGCGGAATTCTATATTTCTGTTTATATAAAGAGAAATGTAATGATAGTCACGAAAATTACTGGAATTTCCTTTTAAAACTAGTTCAGAATTTCCGTGGTTGGCAGAAGTGATACAGCTTTGTGACACTACCCCGTGTGAAGGGTACTATATAAATGCAAGTTGTTGCTGTTGTAGCTTTGGGAATTGAAATGTCTGTTGATTATAAATTGTGGAACTGGTATGTTGAAGTATTTTATCATTTTAACTCTGCTGTAATGTAGGTGCTCTGTGGTAATCCTGGATGATCCTTTATCAGCCCTGGATGTGCATGTGGGAAGTCGTGTCTTCCACCAAGGCATTATGGGTGTGTTAAAAAAGGAAGGACGAACAGTCATCATCGTAACTCACCACCTGGAGTATCTAAAGGAAGCGGACCATGTATGTTGTGAGAAGGTTTCTGAATAATAGTGCTGTCAATGATAAATGGTGGCTGGGTTTTTATACAATAGTTTCTTGTCCTTTTTACGTTTCCTAGTGTTTGTCATTCCTTGGCTGAAGGCAAGAGCTCCCAGGCCTCTGTCGTTTTTGAGATGGGCAGCACATGAGGATGCTGCTGGTGAATTAGATGTTCTTCTTCCTTTTCAACCCACTCCACATTCTCCTTGTCCCTGGCACCTGATGCATGCAGAATGCCTGAGATCTTGATTCACTTCTTAATGAATGTATCAATGTGTTCTGTCGCCAGGCTAAATATTTTGGCAGTGTTCAGTCCTTAAGAACTATATAGGAGGAAGAGCAAATTAAGCCAAAATAACATGAAAATGATATTAACCTATACTTGTGTGTTGACAGATTTTTATGAGAGGGAGAGAGTTTTGAAGAAGTTACCCCCACAATCCCTAACTGCTGCCTTGGAGTCCTCTGAACTCCTCTCTCTCTGGCCTTCAACCCTCACTGACCCCTCTTCTAATCTCACCCTCCTCCACAACACCCTCTCCTCCACACTCATACTCTTGCCCCCATCACTTCCCGTACTGTCTCCTACTCTCGCTCCTCCCCCTGGTTCACCACCCACCTCCGCTCACTGAAGAGCCAGGTGCGGGCTGCTGAACGCACCTGCGTCAAATCTGGCCTAACGGTCCACCGACACCTCGAAATCTACCACTCCACTCTAGCCTCAGCCAAATCGTCCTTCTACTCCAGGATAATCCTGGAGGCGAAGAACAACCCCAGGCTACTATTTTCTACCACATCCCGACTCCTGCGTCCCCCCCGCCACCCCGCGCAGGTCATCTCCTCCAACCTTCACTGTGAGGAGATGCTGGATTTCCTTGAATCCAAAATCAAGGGAATCGCTCCGCGGTCACTTCCCCTCCAACATCCACCCACCCCCCCCCTCCCTCCCACACTCCGACTCCTACCCATCCTCCCCTACACACTTTCGTACCCGTTTCCCCACCCTCTGTCACCAAACTCATCCTATCCCTGAAACCCACCACCTGCTCCCTTGACCCCATCCCCACTCCACTCCTTATCTCCCAGCTCCACCTCCTTGCCCCACATATCACAGACATCGTCAACCTGTCCCTCTCCTCTGGCTCTGTTCCCATTCCCTTAAAAACTGCCACCATCACTCCCACCTTGAAAAAACCCTCCCTTGATGCGTCGCAGCTATCAAGCTACCGGCCCATCTCCAACCTCCCCTTCCTGTCCAAGGTCCTGGAGAGTTGTCGAGCTGCGCTCTTTCCTCTCCACCCATTCATTATCGAACCCCTTCAGTCGGGTTTCCGTGCTGCCCATAGCACAGAAACTGCCCTGGTCAAGGTCACCAATGACATCCTGACCATCTGTGACCAGGGCTCCCTCTGCCTCCTCGTCCTCCTCGACCTATCGGCAGCATTCGATACGGTCGACCACGCTATCCTACTCCACCGCTTGTCCTCCCACCTCAACCTTCAAGGCACTGTCCTTGAGTGGTTTAGGTCGTACCTCTCCCACCGTCTTCACTTCGTTTCCATGAACGTTTTTCCTCCACCCCCGCACTGTCTCGTGCGGTGTCCCTCAGGGCTCTGTCCTCGGTCCCCTCCTCTTCACCCTCTATATGCTCCCTCTTGGTGACATCATCCGCAGACATGGGGTTAACTTCCACATGTATGCGGATGACACCCAACTCTACCTTTCCTCCTCTACCCTCAACTCCACAACCACCGATGTCCTGACAGCCTGCCTTCCGACATCGAGTCCTGGACGCGAGACACTTTCTTCAGCTCACGTGCAAAACTGAGGCCCTCCTGATTGGCTCACGTCAGCGCCTCCGCACCTCAGGCGCTGACAGCATCAGCATCCAAGGCTGCACTCTCCACCTCTCAAAGCCAGTCAGGAACCTCGGTGTTTGTTCGACCCTGAGCTGTCCTTTCTCCCTCATATCCGCGCCACAACTGGCACCGCCTTCCATCACCTCCGGAATGTCGCCAGACTACGGCACTACCTCACCCTCACGCTGCTGAATCAGTCTTGTTTAGAATCTTAAAGAGGATTTTCAGGATGTGCTCGATGCTCAGGCTGTCAGACTTGTGACATTTCAGGAGAAAGATTTGTTTTAAAGAAAGGTTGCAGAGTTCTGATTGCAAATTTATAAACTCTGAACATCTTCTCCATCATTTGTTTGGTGCAGGGAACTTCTAATTCAGAGTACGGTCGGTAATCTATACTAATAAAGACAAAATGTCTGTCTGTCTGTCAGCCAAGAACTTAATAACCGCCTTCCATCACCTCCAGAACATTGCCAGACTACGGCACTACCTCACCCCTCACGCTACTGAAACACTGGTCCACGCCTTTATCACCTCAAGGCTGGACTATGGGAACTCTCTCCTCGCCGGCCTTCCCGGCACCTCCCTCCACAAGCTGCAGGTCATTCAGAACTCTGCAGCTCGTGTACTGTCCCGCACCAGGCTTCGGGACCACATCACTCCCACCCTCGCTCGCCTCCACTGGCCCCATCCCCCAGAGGATCGAATTCAAGATCCTCATCCTCACCTACAAGGCCATTCACGGCCTTGCTCCCTCCTACTTCTCCGACCTACTATCCGTCTACCTACCTGCCCGTACCCTCCATTCCTTTGGCTCCGGTCTGTTCCACATCCCCCGCCCTAACCGCCCTACCATCGGTGGCCGGACCTTCAGCCTCTCAGCCCCCAGGCTCTGGAACTCTCCCCCAGTGCCTTCGCCGCCTCTTCCCTTTCCTTCTTCAAGGCCGGTCTCAAGACCTTTCTCTTTGACCGTGCCTTCAGCTCCCCTCTCAACTCCCTTCCCATCCTCGCTCCCTTCCTTCCCTCCCCTCACCCTGACCATTTCCCCCCTGCTCAGGTCCTGACCCAACTGTCCAGCACCTTGGGACGTCCTCCCAACGTGAAAGGCCTCTATAAATGGAATCTTGTTGTTGTTGTTGATCCAGAAAATCTTTCTCACTCAGTCACTACTTTCTTTCTCCATCAATATTCCTTTGATTGTTTGCAATTACCCAGTGCTAAACGAAAACACTTTATTGGAAATAAAAGTACCGTCTATAATGATTTTCTTTGTGAATTCATTGTGGAATGACAAAGCTTAATCTGCTCTGTGAAATGTGAAATGTTTGCCTTTTAGATCATTGTAATGGAGAATGGGATGATTGATGCCCAAGGTACCTATTGGGATATTTCTACACAAAATCCAGACCTGGTGCAAATTTGGAAGACCCTGATAGCAAAAGGTTGGTCACCTTAGAAATCATGCATTAAACTTTACCTTTACAATACCTTTCAAAGCTATAAACACAATTGAGTCTATATTAAATAGTGCAGAATTGTGAATTGAATTGCATTACTGCACAATGTGTTTCATTTCTTAAGTCCAATTCTCGGGGTGTTTACTCTTATTTCTTAGAAGTGGGTTCTGTTAGGAATATGCACAGCATCTCTGTCCTAAAATTAATGCCCAAATTATGGTTGTAAAGTGGGTGTTTTATAATCACAATTTAACCTAAGATATCTTTCGGGTTGTGCTGCATTGAAGACCTTTAAAAATGGGTTATCTTTGTGAATCTTTTTATCCTAGTTAATGAGGCATCAAATCACAAAGAACTGAAGGAAATAAAATTTTGATCTGTCGCGTGCAATGGCTCTTCTGTCAACGAGTGAGACCCGATGTCTTCATTCTGAAGATGTCAGGACAGCTGAAATTACAACCTAAAAATTATTAAACTGCTCGAATTGACTTTGTCACAAGTCCTTTCATATATTTTTCTTTGCCCATGAAACAGTTAGCAAAAATATGTGTTTTCAGTATGCAGTACTCCAAGGCACTGTTGACAGACAGTCAGCCTAGCTCATCAGTGGGACATAAAGTAGAAGACCAGTTATTGTATGCAGGCATTCTTCCCTGCAATCCAAAACTCTAACTGGTGGAGTAGTCTTTTCTGCACAAGTGGAGGCATAGTGCCTGCAATCACAAGCTGTGTGATTTGAACCCCACTCTGTAATCCACTCTACTACCTGCCTTCGTTGCTCGGAGGCAGAGGCCTGCTACGCATTCCCCAAACTCTTCTCATCACTATAAGTAACCGTATCTTCAGTCACTGCACCACTAACCGCTGGAATTCCTTGCTTCCCCCAATTTCTCTCCATTGTCTCTCTATCCATATCTCACACCTCCTGTCTCCCTTGCTCACTGACCAACCCCATCATTGTGGAATGTTCCAAGACACTGTCCTTTGCGAAAGGTGCCATAAAAATGCAAGTTATTTGTAAAATACCCCAACCCAAACTATGAATAATGATTTTGTAATTTGGTAAGCAGGGTGCATGAATTTTCAGTGAGCGCATGTTCTATTCCATACAAATGGGAAATATCTATTTATAAATGGAATACATATATGGATGCAATACATCTGGTTTAGACATGCTGAAGCATGATGATAAGTTTTCACGTGTGTCAGATACTTAACTGACTAAACAAAATGTTGCAAAAGCAGTTCAATAATGTTATTGCGACTGACCCACATATTTTGCTTGAATATCGTTGGAATAGATTTAAATGCTGTACAGATTTTATCTGAAGTTTGATCTCTAGAGTGTACACCTGTGCAGTTTAGTCACTCATTTAAAAACATTGACACTTTTGGTAGCTAATATTCATATTGTTGGACTAATTTTTTTGGTGATGCATTCAGTCTCTGGCATTGGTGTTATCCAGTGTTCTTTGCTACAGATCTGTGAGCTACTGTCATCAGTATATGAGTTTTCAAGCTGGGATTTGACAATAACATATACTGTACCCTGAATTTGAGCCCTAAAATCATTCACTGAATTTGAGATCTAAAATGATTCTCTGAATTTTGAGTTCTAAATTCATGCCTTGAATTGGCTGTTTTTTGTTTTCCCATGTTTGCATTCTATAATGTCTTCATGGTTCATGTTTTTCATGTTTTTATTTGGAGTAGCAGAAATTATGCATATGTCATAGTAACATTCCAAAATAAATATTAAAACTGCTTCTCAAGAATCTAATTTGTCAGGTTTTCGAAAAGGCAGAATAATGTGAAACTTAATGACTCAGTGTGTGAGTCCCAGGTTTGGAAATCGTAAAAGCTTACAAATGCAAGAACATGCATGTGTCTCTCTTTTTCTGTCTTCCCTAGTGATGGCCAGTTACACAGCAATGTTTTGAGAGACTGAGAAGCAGAGTGCCTGGAAATCCTCTTACCCATTGTATGTGCATGGTGTGAGGGAGGGAAGGGGGAATCTAAGGAGATGAGACAGAATAAACCTAATAAAACGCAGGGAGAAAAGAGAATTGTGTATATATTCAAATGCGTTATTTAACTAGCTCTAGTTCATTGGACAATGTAAAAGGTTACTTTCTAAATCTAGGAGGATCACAAACATGTGAATAATGAAAGCCTCTGTGTCTTCAGATCAGGTAAATCTCTATTTGTCCTGTTTTCAGTAAGTACAATCTTGGTGAAACTGTATTTTATCTGTTTATGATTGATAGAGGATAATGAAGGAGAAGAGGAAGGTAAAGATGATAATTTTGAAGAGGCATATTTACAAATGGAGCAAAAACCTGGTAATGTGGATGGCAAACTGGTGCAAGACGAGGAAAAAGAAGAAGGATCGATCTCCATCCGAGTCTACTGGCTTTACATACGCTCGATTGGCATTTTCTTCTTCTTTGGTTTACTTTTTGCAGTAATAATCAAGCAAAGTTTTTTTGTGGCTATTGACTTCTGGCTAGCTGATTGGTCGTCTGCAGGAACCTTGTTGATACAGAACAAATCGCGAAATGAAAGTGTAAGCAGGGTGGGTTCCTAAAGCGTTGCTATTCACTTCCCTAAAAATCCTTAGTAATTCCACAAGGACATTCAATGAGATCATTTAGTGTTAACAACCAAGACACAGCTAATCAATTGTTATTGCTAAATAAACCATCGTATTCAATCAGCTATGAACATCTTTGATTTTGTTTTTCCTTTCACTCTGTTCCTTAGATTGAAAATCAAGCCGTATTAACTCATTATCTCAATGGATACATTGGGCTGACATGTGCAGCAGTTATTACAGCTTTGTTCAGTTCCATTGCACATGTACTTTCAGGTTTGTCCAGTCTAACGCTGACCAGTCTTTTTGCTATAATTTAGGCTTCGTTTTAATCTAAGTTGCCCTTATCTCAGTATCATCAATATTCTTATTGATTCCTCATTATCTTGTTCTCTTGTGTTGTTTTGAAGGTATCAAAGCTTCAAAATATCTCTTCAGAAAAATGCTGGTAAATGTAATGGCTCTTCCATTAAGATTCTTTGAATCCACACCTATCGGAAGAATTCTGAACAGGTATGAACGCTCATTTGTGTTCACTAAATGGGGAGGTGATGGGTCCTTGAACATTAATTATATAGTTCGCTTCCAAATAATGGTCTCCTCCTAAATCATGTTGCCTGGCATGATCCAGAACATGCAATTATAGGGGGGAAGTGGGATCAGTTACTGAGGGATGTTTAAGTTGACCGATGAGGAATAAAGTTTGTGTCAGAAATGTAGATGCATGTCTGCAAGCAATCCAGATTATTGTGATCACCAAGTAGGGACATAGCATGTTGTCCACCACTATTTCAATAGTAACTTAAACAGGAGTTTAGGATTTCCCAAATTTCTTAAATTAAAGATGAGTTAAAATGGAGTCCTGTAGCGTAGTGGTTAGCACACTGGGTTTGATTCCTGGGTGCGGCGAAACCTTAGGTTTCCTTACTCCACATGCCTTTGTTTACCTAGCAGAAAGTAGGAACCTGGTTGTTATTCGATTGGCGGATCGCTTTTTTAAAAAAATCTACGACCACTCAATCTATGACTGTTTGTGGATATTTCTATGCGTAATTGGTTGTTGCTTTTCGCCCACAAAATGATGCACCGTTAATTTTATAGTATGTTCAGTGAAGCACTTTGAGACGTCTCAACGACACGTAAAGGCAGTATATCAAATGCAAGAATTATTATTGTTATTATATTTATGTTGATAAATGTTTAAAGAGTTCAGTTGAATAAAATCGGCTACTTCATTTGTCCTTGATAAACCAACTAGACCTGACATCGAAGCTAATTCTCCAGTATGTCTCATAAATCTGAAAGTAAAAGGTTTACAAGAAACATTGTGTAAAGGATGAATCAAATACCTCTTCTGCCTTCAGTTATTAATTGTTTCAGTACAAAGTTAAATAAATTCATTTGTGCGCAATTATTTAAATTCTTGTTTATTTTCAGGTTTTCATCAGACATCAAGGCTATAGACGACCAGATTCCCACAAACTTGGAGCGTTTCCTATGGCACTTATTGCTGTGTTTGAGTGCTGTTTTGATCAATATTATTGTGACCCTTTCTTTATTATTCCAATCCTTCCCTTGCTTGTTTTCTACTATTTTCTTCAAAAGTTTTTCAGAGCTTCCTCCAGGTAATTGTTTTGCAGGTATTCCCATAAATAATCATGCACAGTGAATGCAAATGCAAGGATTATTATTATTGGCTATGATCCTGCATCGTGTTTTTTACAGAGCTCTTTGTAATGACTAAATGTTACATGTTTGCTTAAGTCAATATTTTCTAAAATTATATTGGCAATGGCTTCTACTTGTGGCATGTATCTTCAAGTCTGTTACTTGTAAAAGTTTAATATTATTTGTGTTGTGTTTTAATATGTATTGTATGGATTATTATTAATAATATTTTCCTACTTGATTTGAATTCCAACAATTTGTAGACCGTCTTTCATCAATAAGGACTGGTTGTTGCTTTTTCTCTCTTTCTGCCCCACCCCTAGTCGCATTGCTATTGGATATCAGTGAAAGAAAACTGGCAGTAATGGTTGTTGTCTAATTTTGCCATCTTGTATAAGAGAATTTATCCCGTTACTTGATGCTCTGCAAGACAGTACATTTAGGGTAAAGTTTTATGAAAGGATGCTCAATGAAATGGGGGTGGGGCTCAAGGAAGAGAAAGGATGACAACAGCTTCATGGCAAAAGAAATGATCAAGGGATGAAATTACTCGTGAATTAGACTCTAGGAGTCTAGAGTCTTTTACATGAACATTTGTGCATGGGTTATTTCATGAGGGTATGGTTAGGCAAATTGAACAGAGTGGGAAGAAGTTAAGCTTTTTCTTTTTGTTCAATTGTGAACGGTGCTTCAACTGGTTTGGGTATTCGGTGCATCTACTGTAGAGGTGTGTGAGAGTTATTAAACAGCACTTATTCTTTTGGATTTTGTATTTGTAGGTTTGAAGAATGTTTGCTTGTTAACACTGTCATAAAGATATGCTTGTGTGTTTACAATACTCATACACCTAACCTTACCTGCAATTTAATGGACGATAAGATCAGGATTGTGAACTGCTTCAGTAACATCTGTAAGAAAGATATTTATTGTTTCCTGGCTCATTCTAGGGAACTTCAAAGGCTGGACAGCATTACCAAATCTCCCGTGTTTGCACATTTTTCTGAAACACTCGGAGGTCTTACCACTATCCGGGCCTATAAATGTGAAGACAAGTTCTTTGAACAAATCGTGGACAAGATTGACTATAACAACATTGCTTATTTATACCTGAACACCATAAACAGGTGGCTGGCAATACGACTGGTTAGTTGTTAAATAAGTTAAAATATTCTAAGTGTACATTTTTGGGAAATTTTTGTTTCAAGTAATAAGAATTTAAAAGTAACTATGCAGCTAATTCTCAATTTACTTCTTTTAATTTTGAAAAGTTTATAATGTTTAACTTTTGAGGAATATGTAAGTAACTATATAGTTAATTCACTTCTTCATTCTGTGTTACAGGATTTCATAGGAACAACGATTGTTTTTGCTGCAACACTTTGTGCATTAGTGACAGCGGAACTGCATTACCTGGAGGATGGGTTAGTGGGCTTGGCCATTTTACATGCCTTAAAGGTACGGAAGAGAAAGTAAACAACAATTTGTAAAACATGTGGACGGTACTATGCTTAAAGTCAAAGTTAAAATCAGTCTTGTTTAGAATCTTAAAGAGGATTTTCAGGATGTGCTCGATGCTCAGGCTGTCAGACTTGTGACATTTCAGGAGAAAGATTTGTTTTAAAGAAAGGTTGCAGAGATCTGATTGCAAATTTATAAACTCTGAACATCTTCTCCATCATTTGTTTGGTGCAGGGAACTTCTAATTCAGAGTACTGTCGGTAATCTATGCTAATAAAGACAAAATGTCTGTCTGTCTGTCTGTCAGCCAAGAACTTAATAACCGCCTTCCACCACCTCCAGAACATTGCCAGACTACGGCACTACCTCACCCCTCACGCTACTGAAACACTGGTCCACGCCTTTATCACCTCAAGGCTGGACTACGGGAACTATCTCCTCGCCGGCCTTCCCAGCACCTCCCTCCACAAGTTGCAGGTCATTCAGAACTCTGCAGCTCGTGTACTGTCCCGCACCAGGCTTCACGACCACATCACTCCCACCCTCGCTCGCCTCCACTGGCTCCCCATCCCCCAGAGGATCGAATTCAAGATCCTCATCCTCACCTACAAGGCCATTCACGGCCTTGCTCCCTCCTACCTCTCCAACCTACTATCCCCCTACCTACCTGCCCGTACCTCCGTTCCTCTGGCTCCGGTCTGCTCCACATCCCCCGCCCCAACCGCCCTACCATCGGTGGTCGGGCCTTCAGCCTCTCAGCCCCTAGGCTTTGGAACTCCATTGCCCAGTGCCTTCGCCGCCTCCTCCCTTTCCTCCTTCAAGGCCGGTCTCAAGACCTTTCTCTTCAATAGTGCCTTCAGCTCCCCTCTCGACTCTCTACCCCCTCCTCGCTCCCTTCCTTCCCTCCCCTCACCCTGACCATTTCCCCCCTGCTCGGGTCCCGACCCAACTGTCCAGCGCCTTGGGACGTCCTCCCAACGTGAAAGGCGCTCTATAAATGCAATCTTGTTGTTGTTGTAGAGACATGATTTATAGCCCATTGGAAAGGTCTTGCAAGGGGGAACGTCATGGGCATATTTTCCGGGGATCTCCTATTGTTGATGAGCTATATTAAAAGATATATTTAAAAATGGTTTAATTAAGCCCCCAAAAAGGTATGCATGGTATTCTGCAACAAAGTAGCAACAAAGGTCATAAACCCTTCTAGAGAGATACATAGATACTAATAAAGATGCCTAAGAAGCGAAGATCAAGCCTTTCAAGGATAAATGAAAATGCCAGACGAAAGAGAGAAGGTCGATTAAATTAATTTGGTTGCAAGCTTAGCTGCAACGGGTACAGCTAGTTAGTCTATAACCGAACAATTTGTCTTGACTCGAGTCGTGAGTCCAAATTTACCTGGAATGATGCAATCTGAATAACAACAGTGTAAATGAAACATAAAATGTCACTTACCCACTTTAGCTGCTGTGTGAATGCAACAAATTCTTGCATGTTAGAGCATGAGTTTTTAAACTCTTATTTCAACAAATAAGTTAAACCATTCTAAAAGCAACAGTTCATTTCAATGCAAGTACAAGCCAAGCGTGCGAAGATCCAGACTGACTTTTAATCTTTGAAAGCAAGACCTTGGCAATCCAGAAAACCAAGCAAGTTACTGCTTCCTGGCATTCAACTAATGCTGTTGTGTAATCGGCCCTGAGGAAGTGCACAAGTGCCAGTTGGATCATTTTTGTTTCATGCTCCTCCATTTCTTGTTTCCAGATGTCCACTTTCTTAAACTGGAGTGTCCGAGAGATGGCAGAACTAGAAATGCAGATGAATTCAGTGGAGCGAGTGCATCACTACACTGAACTAAAAACCGAAAGACAACTTAAAGAATCAATGATGGCACCAGGTTCAAGCATTCTTGGTTTATTTTTCTCTACCAAAATCCAACCCATTATCGATCAATTTATTTAAGAATGTAAAAGTGTAATACAACACAATTTACATAACGACTTTCACATTCCGAGGACATCTATCGCAAAGTGCCTCACAACAACAACAACAAGATTCTATTTATAAAGCGCCTTTCACGTCAGGAGGACGTCCCAAGGCGCTGCACAGTTGGGTCATGACCCGAGCAGGGGGGAAATGGTCAGGGTGAGGGGAGGGGGGGAGGAGGAGGGGGGAAATGGTCAGGGTGAGGGGAGGGAGGAAGGGAGGGAGCGAGGAGGGGGAAGAGAGTCGAGAGGGGAGCTGAAGGCTCGGTCAAAGAGGTTTTGAGACCAGCCTTGAAGGAGGAGAGGGAGGAAGCAAAGCGAAGGCACTGGGGGATAGAGTTCCAGAGCCTCGGGGCTGAGAGGCTGAAGGTCCACCACCAATGGTAGGGCGATTGGGGCGGGGGACGTGGAGCAGACCGGAGGAACGGAGGGTACGGGCAGGTAGGTAGGGGGGTAGTAGGTCGGAGAGGTAGGAGGGAGCAAGGCCGTGAATGGCCTTGTAGGTGAGGATGAGGATCTTGAAATCAATCCTCTGGGGGATGGGGAGCCAGTGGAGGCGAGCGAGGGTGGGAGTGTTGTGGTCCCGAAGCCTGGTGCTGGATGGGCACCAAAGCTGAGAGAGGTGGGGAGGCGTAAGATGTGAATCCTTAAAAAGAAAGTTGCAAAAACCTAAACAGCTGGTGATACCAGATTAATATGTTTCTTTACAGCTGGGTGCAGAATTTAGCCCTGAAAGTTATTCTTTTACATATTGAAGAAAGTATTACTCGATATCTGGAAAAGAAAATTGCTTTTCATAAACCCTGGCTCTTGATAGGCTTATAGAAAAGGCTTAGAAACTTAATTCGTCTTTTGCATAATTTTGATTTTGAATGCACTGTCCTCGAGGTGCACATTATTTGTGAAACTCCTAAATAGTTGAATATATACCTGAAATGCTTTTAATTCTTACCCCATATTTAGTTTCTATCAGTTGGCCACGCTCAGGGAAAATTGAAATTTATAAGCTCAGTGTACGCTATGCTGATCACCTTGATCCTGTCTTGCACAACCTAACTCTAACTATTGAAGCTGGAACAACGGTTGGGATCTGTGGACGTACAGGAAGTGGAAAGTCCAGCCTTTCCTTGTCACTTCTGAGAATTATTGATAACTATAAAGGTACGTCTTCCTTCACTAAGGTCTGTTTGTAGCTGGTTTGAAGCTCTCTTTAATTATGAAATGAAATCCGCCTTAAAGGCCACTCTAATATCGCTCTCTATAATAAATACCAGTAAGAGGGTGACCTTTCTTTCTCAGTTTATAACCTGCAACTGTGTATCTTGCCAGTCAATATTAGTACAAGTTTAAGCAAATAAATTACTCTTCTCTCTCTCTACCACTGATCAATCCCACTAGCCTTCCTAAATCTCAAAGTTTGACTTAGTCTGAGGATGAGCTTCGATAGCCCATGTTTAAGATAAATTCTTGCACTCTTGTGGCTTGGTGATGTCTCTTAGGTAGAGTTGCTTCTGTCTGAGTGTTTCCCAGGCCGTGTTTACGCTATTAAGCAGTTGACTTTCACAAGTTCTTATTGTTGCAGCTATATAAAGATTGGTGGAATTGATATTTCCACTGTTTCACTGGCGTTTGAGGAGGGCAATCTCAATTATTCCCCAGGATCCTGTTCTCTTCGGTGGCTTACATGGCCTTGAACTACCACACTCAAAATTATAGTTAGCTTTCGCGTTGATGGAGATCGTAGAAAGCCTA